ATAGGTATCAGGTATTAGCGTCGGTGAGGCGATCCGCGGAGCCAGTGTATAGTGCCCCAATCCCAATCAGGCCGAAAATTGGCCCGGCGGAAGTCCGCGTCGCCAGGTTTTGCGATGCCCACGGTCTGTGTATGCTCTCTTTCACTCCCTTTCTTTTTTTCTCTCTTTCTCTCTCTTTCAGTCTTCTTTGCTCTCTCTGACAGTGTGTATACAGCGCAAACCCTTAACGCAAACCCCCTGAAAACGCTAAACTTACCTTGTTCGACCTGATCTCGATCAGGACAGACTGTAGAATCTGCGGTGCGGTCGAGCGCGGAAGCTACCGCGCCTGAAAGTTTGAGACTGTCCTGATCGGGCTCTTGCCTGAACGGGAGCTGCTCGATCCAAATCAAGCAACTGTAAGGCGTGTGAGTCGTAAGACGTCCAGTCAAATCTGAACCTACGGGGATCTCACGTGAAAGCTAAATTTGGGCCTTCAATAAGACCCTGCCCAAGCGGCAGCGACACTGGGGCTGGTCTGGATGTGGATATCTCAGCGGCGAGTGAGCTACCGTTTGAGCAGTGTCTTAGTTGGGGTCTCAGAATTACTTTTTGGCTTGAGATTTCCAAATGTCCAGGTTTGCCCGGACGCTACCTTCAAGTAGTAGATGAGATCATTATATGGGCGGAAGGAGGCGGGGTTTATATATCAGCATGTTGCTGAAAAAAATCGTTGCTAGAAATTTTCGTATGTGCACATACATATATACAGAGTAAAACACTATACATGGAGTTTTTTCTTCCATTCTTGTGGAGCAGGTTTACCCTTTATGAAACGAGAAGAACTTACAGATTGAAAGGGAAGTTTTGGGATAATGATCTTCGTCGATATTTGCTTCGTTATGACTGTCACTCATAAACTCACACAATGTTGTTGTCACTTCGAATGCATATCTTTCTAGAAAATTACTGCGCTTGTGCGCAACAGAAATCACTCAATTTTCTTACTGACAAATTAGGAACTGAAACCTTGATGGGAATGGTGGTGATTAAAAATTCGTTAACACGTTGACGACATCGTGCATTTTAGTTGTCTGTCTTGTGGGACAATGCCTTCAACGGATAAGTCAAAAATTTTCGGCTAAAATCATGCAGATCGTCAACTGCTGAATACCTACAGTAATGCGGGCAAAAAACACAAAAGCATTTTCTAGTGTTAGAGCGTAAGAGAGCTTCTAAAACGAATGTGTTTCAAAATAGTAATCATTATAACAAGATTTAAGCCATGACCCACCATATGAGTCACATTGTCCCTAGTGGCAGTCATTGCATGACCCATCATGTGGGTCACGTTGTCGTCAATGTGTTAATTTTTGGTTTTGCTTAATACAAGTCTTCTCGGTAAATAGTACGGTTCTGCAAATAAGTTTGAGAAGGGACGAATCTCAGCGAGCTGAACTAATCGTTTGTTTTGAAGTTCTTTGTGTTGTTTCTAATGCAGGGAAAGGTTTTCAGAACCAAATGGAAATGGATGTGAGGTGGCAAAATCGCCGCAAATGAGGGAAAGTGTGAAACACCTGGAGTGTTCGAAGTATATGAAGTGGTTCAGGTTAACTATGCTAGCAGACTTGTTAACTTGAAGTTCTTTGTGGTGTTATCGTAAGTGCTGAGCTGTTCGATAGAATAAATGTATGATTATTGTTGATTATTGTCTAAACAATCAGGTAAAAGTTTCACAACACGATTTGAAGCATCTGCCTTCCTTATTTCTTGTGATACTGTATCGTTGCCTATCCCTGCTTCTGTTAGAAGTCAAAGAATTGTTTTATGGAATTTCAAGTAACACACAACAGTTTCCAAAATCAGAAAAACACAAAGGAAACCAAAAAATGAAGAAATTTGAGAATTAGTGTCCTTGCTTGAAAAATGTGTGGAAACGAGATGAAAGTGTTGTCATTTACACATACTATGGAGGCCAGGATGTGATGTGGAGCCGAGACGATATTCTGTAGGAATATGAAGTCTGGATATGGTGGAACTGCCGTAATTGTACTTATTACACTGTCTTTGCGCACATGTATGAATGAAAATTAATTCTAAACCCTACGTTCAGAGAGGCAACAAGAGCAGTGACACTGGAGTCCGCAGGATGGATTTATCTGACTTTCGACAGTAAACCCACACGTATAAAGTTGATTCATTGTCCGCACGGACTGGCCATCACTGCGGAGCACGCGGCGCTAGGTAAAACGCTTGCCCCAGTACAAACTCGCCATTGTACAACTCGTGCTCTTGCGACGATTCAGCGCGCCGCACGTGGTCCGCAACGTTTGAGCAGTCCACGCGGTCAATGAATCGACGATACACATGCTTTAACACATTCACGACAGGGCCGATTTTTCGATGACTGCCATTTTGGACCAGAGCATATTTGGCAAAATTGAGTTTGCGTAATATTTTCAGGTCACTGATGGGTCCTGTAGTCTGAAGTGTTAATCTTTCGGGAATTACATCAAGAGGTGTATACAGAAGTTTGTTCGGTTTGCCTAAAAATTTCCACCGTGAACTAGCATAATCAAAAACTTCGGAAAGCATACGACCCACCGGTGGGTCGTATTGTCCGAAATGGCAGAACACGTACGACCCACCGGTGGGTCGTATTGTCGTGAATGTGTTAAAGGCCAGAGCGTGATGTGTTGCCGAAACGATAATTATGAGAAGTGCCGTAATCGCACTGTATTTGCGCACATGTATGAACGAAGAATAAATTTAAACATTGCATTCAGAGAGGCAACAAGAGCAGTGATACTGCAAACAGGGTATCTATCATTTGGTGATATTCGACAGTAAACTCTTGAACCCTCACGGAACCTTGAAGCTCTCAGTCCTCCTTCAATCCATGTGCTAAATCATAAAAACTTGCATCAGTTCTATCAGTCACGCGCACTCATCCAAAAGGGGCGAAGCCTTGAAGCACACCTTACAAGGGAATGGTCAAAAGTCGAAGTGGCCAATCCATACAAGCTGCATACCGTTAGATGCAGCATGAAGCGCTGACTCTAAATTTGTCTTCCTTATCTGCAGCGCTTTTGTGGACGAAATTATAGGCCATTACTTTGCTAAAAAATCGTGCGTGTTAAGTGCAAAATTGGTCATACAAAGCCATTCCCGGTTCAGTGTTGGATTAAAACATGCAACTAGGACACTTTATATGACCCGTAACTAGAGGGGAGCTAAAAGAGCAATAACGTGCCCAATTTCGCAATTTTTGTGCACGATTTTTTCACAGTAAAGCTGCTCATAACTTCGCCTACAAAGGCGCTCTGCGGATATGGAAGACAGATTTGAAATCAGCATTCTATGCTGCATCGAATGGTATGCAGCTTGTATGGATCGGCCACTTCGACTTCTGACCATTCCCTTGTTAGCATTACACACATATTTAAGGTTGGGCTGAAGCTACTATAATTGGGAGGTTCCAACCATAATCTAACTCCGATAAACTTTGCCGAAAGTCTTTTGTGTTTGACAGACATTACTTTTGTACAGAAACTCACAAGGGAAACCGGAACATAGATATTGGCCGGATAAAAACCACGAATAATCCGAAAAGGATGAAAACCGCATAACCTGAGAAAACGGACATTCCTGTGCACCTTTTGCCAGTTTCATTTTGTCTGCTTTGGCACAGCTTCCAAAATGTGGAAAACTGAAAAACACGACTGTTGTGGAAATCACACCATACTTTCCTTGTCTTTGCATAGCTGTTTGCAACTGGAATGTCTTGCCAACTAATTCTCAACCGACAATTATAGTTCAACCCAATCGGGACCAGGCAGAGCCGTTGGCGCAAATTTCTGCGTCGCAGCGCTAAGGTCGGCACGATTAGATCCACGATTAGACTAAATGTAGGAATACTAATGAATTCTTCGTTAGCTGGTGCTCACATTTGCACCAGCACATGCGAGGTCAAATCCGGGACTGCTCTTGTAGGCAGGTTTCGCTTTCCTACCAAACGATTTTCTTGCAAAATGGGTCCCGCGAAGAAGGCACTTTCGAAATGGATGGCTCGCTTGCCTATAGTAGACGTCATCCGTCTAGTCACCTCGGTGCCGTGTGTGCTATTGCACACAATTTTGAAATCCCGGATGAGGTGCGGGGTTCGCGCCGTGCCGTACTTGCACCAAGTACGCGTACGGCTAAAATTCGACGCCAAATTTTGCCGGTTTTTCTTATTCCGGTGCTTTTTTTTTGTTTTTGGCTCCGCGCACGTCTGGTTTTTGATGATTTGTTATCTTTATACCGTGCGTTGCCGTTTTAGATCGCAAATTTCAAAATTTTTCACTTTTGATTCCAGGTGAGAGCGGCAAATGGGCGCTCCTGCAGGATTTCAAGGTAAGTGTGCTTTCTTCAATATTGTCGGTTGTAGAAAGAGTAGAGTGTCTCTTGGGAAGTACGAGTTTTTGTTTAAAGCAATCCCACTATAGACTTAGAAGAAGCTTTCCAAGAGGAACTCGGTACAAGACGATTTCAGTGAGGAGGAAGTTGAAACTCGTATTGTCTACGAGATACTCCATTCTTTCTACATACGATTATACCGAAAAACACACTTCACAATCCTGCAAGATTGCCCACGCGCCTTCCTTGCCTGGAAGCAGAAGTGATAAATCTCAGGATATCCTATCTAAAACGGCAATGCACGAGTATAAAGGTAGCAAATCTTTGAGAACGAGACCATGCGTGCAGAAAAAGTGCTCAAAACGAAAAAAAACATCAAAATAAGAAAATCGGACAGTTTGGCGTCGAATTTCAGCCGTATGCGCGCTTGGTGCAAGTACGGCATGGCGCGAACCTCGCACCTCATCCGGGATTTCAAAATTGTGTGCAATAGCACACACGACACCGAGGTGACTAGACGGATGACGTCTACTATATGCAGTCATGATAGCCCTTTTCGTTTTCTATCCGGAATTCTTTCACAGTTTGCAACTTAGCGTTCAGTAAGCATACTGCATTCAGATATGCCGATGAGACTCCGCTCAGGCAAAACACTTGGATCAGCCGCGCCTGCAGAGATGACCACCGCGAAACTTCACGAGTCAGTACGTTGCGCCTTTCCGTTTCTGAAACTCCCACCGGAGTTGTGCGTTCGCATATTGAAGTATTTGCTGGAGGTTTGCTCATTTTCTCTGCATTTGAGATTGAAATTAGAACTGCTTCGTTGGAGGCTTTGCCTGTGAATTCTGCATGCATCTTGAGCTGCAAAATCTCGGTAATTTTTTCAAAGGAGTACGCACTCAAGCAAACTAGCCAAGAAGCATATTACAAATGGTCAGAAGGCGAAGTCAATCCAGACAAGCTGCCTACCATTGGATGCAGCATCAAACGGACTCTAAATCTATCCTCCCTATCTGCTAAACATTTTTGTGGGCAAAGCTATAAGCCATTAGTCATTATACTGCCAAGGAATCGTGCGTGCAAATTGCAAATCTGGCCCTACAGAATCATGCCAGGCAAAACGGCGTGCCAAAACATGCAGGTATAGGCCGTCCGCGCAGGGCGCGGAGAGTGCGCAAGGTGTGTAATGCGCGTCACTCTTCCTTCCCCGTCCACTCTCGCCGCCTGTTTCCTTTGCACTTCTTCCACTCATGAACTGTCTCCAACGGATGCAACAGCGTTGCTCTCCGTGCGCAGGCGGACGGCCTATACCTAGAGGTGAGCTAGGAGGAATAACGTGGCCAATTTCGCAATTTTTATGTACAATTTTGCTCGCGATAAAACTGCTCATAACTTCGTTTACAAAGGCTTCAGCAGATACGGAAGACAGATTTGAAGTCAGCGGTTTATATTGCATCCTATGCGGCTTGTTTAGATTGGCCAATTTGATTTCTGATCCACTTCAAAGTTGACTGCACAGAATCGCCCGAACAGCCGTAGGCTGAATGCTCCGAGTGTCTCTTGCGGGCTGACATTGGCATTCGCGCGAGTCATCTAGCGGCATACATACTTGGCAGCTACGTTGCAGACACGCTCGCGTGCGGTCAGCAGCTGGGCGATTTCGTGCAGTCGACTTTAGCATGTAGTACTGATGCTGTTTGAAGGTTCCTGAGTGTTTAGTAGCGATTTTGCCCCAGGCTTCATTTTCTTTATGGGTCGCACGCTGCCAAGTGGCCGCTGACTACGCTTCTCTTCCAAATTTTGGGGATAGTTCTCAGTTTTTGGTGCAGTGGTAACAACGAACATGCCTTTCGTTTTCCTAAGGGACCGGCCATACTATTTCAGGAGGCGGTTCCTGCGATTTCTGTAATTCCTGCAAGTCCTGTGATTCTTCGACTTCCGATGTACCGCACTACGGAGCGCTTTGCGAATTCAGTATACATTGCTTCTTCACAATATACATTGTTACGGGAACCGCAGGAATCACAGGAATAGTATGGCCGGTCCCTAAGGAAAGGTCTGCAAAGGGTTTTACAATAAAGGGCCATGATGGCAGGATAGAAGACTGTATGTCATCAAAAGGGAAGGCCCTTTGTAGACATCTGCAAATCATGCACATCTTTCGCGTTAAAAAAGTGCGTATTTTTGCAGATATCCGCGCGGGACGTTCTTCTTTCGGCGGCGTATACAGAGGCTTCCAATCCGGGTGTCAGGTCGGCTCGCGAGCTGCCTCGCGGTTTTCTCGCCGCGTTCGCCCTCGGCGATATATCCCGTGTCTGAGGAGTGGGAAAAACCGTATTCTTAGGTACTAGTGGCTGATGAGCTTAGGAAAATGCTACGAAATATGTTCGCAAACTTGTCGAGTGGCAAGCGAGGCGGCTCGCAAAACACAGGACGCCGACCGTCACTTAGATTGAAAGCCCTCTGTAGATCTCTATCCAAGACCGCATAGCCGTTCACCACAAAAAATCTAACAAAGAGCTCGAAATGCATTAAGGTTTGTTTGTAAAGGCGTAAGACGACAGATCTGACTGCGGTCTTCGCGCCAACAAGAGATAACACCCTCATACAAAAGGCATCACCTCAACGCTCCGCTCAATCGCTTCAAGTGTCCAAGTACTACTATACCTAAGCGGAAAAACCAGTCGAGTGGAGATTAAAACCAAAAAATGCGGCTGCCGGAAGGTGCGTGCGTGTCGCGCGGTCGTGACATCGTCACGATTTTTCGAATGCCCTTTACCAGGTCTGCCTCGTTTAGCTGTCGATCGAGCAAGCTTTGACCTGGGGGCTTGAGATTCGGTATATATATGGGAGATTAGTATGTGAACATGCTAATTACGACGATTGGCTCTTATGTTTATCGACAGGGGCCAGCGGATCCGTATATGCTAGCTATAGGGGCCTGCAGGATCGCGAGAGTCGGAGTTGCGTATGGCCATTGCGCCGCGCACGTCCGATGTCACTAAGGCAGGTGCCAGACTTATCCGTTTCAGCAGGTTCGTTCGGTCCATAGTAGGTCAAATCACTACACTTTCTAACAGCAAAGGCGGTGAACCGAATGAATCTGTTCAGCAGGATAAGTCTGGCACCTACCTGAGTCGTCGGACGCACATCTGACCTCAGACACTCGCACCGGCCGGCGGCCGCACAAAGACCGGCTGGCGCGACCACATGTCATTGCATACAGTTGCGTAGTCTACGCCCGCCGGCCGGTATTCGGACGGGCGCCGGCCGGAAAGGTACGGCCGCCAGCCGGTGTATACTGAGGAACGGTAGAACTGTTTTACATGGTAGAACTGTCTTTTATTCACTGACATATAGGAAAATACACTGCAAAGAACAAAAATCAAGCCGCTGATGTAGCAGCTTCGGAGACCACGTCCGATTTTAAAGTTCGACAACACCGAGATACTATCGAGGGTTGTCTATAAGACAACATGTTGCCTTGTTCCTGCTTCGGAAATTGAAGAACATACAAGGCATTGAGGGTAGCCTAACCATGCGTCGTATCTCACGCAAGTATCCTTTACGCTAAGACACTGGGAGATAGAATTTTGGGACGGTCGCCGGCCGGCATGATCTTTTGGGACGGTCGCCGGCCGGCATGATCTTTTGGGACGGTCACCGGCCGGCATTTAGCTCCGCCCGGATTTATGGAACGGTCGCCAGCCGGAAGGCCGTCGTCGGACGGTCGCCGGCCGGTGCGAGTGTCTGAGACTTGCGCGGCGCAATGGCCGTACGCACGTCCGACTCTCGCGATCCTGCAGGCTCCTATACCACGGACCTAGGCTTTCCAAAAAACATAGAAAGCTTCAAATTAGTCATCTTTAGATGGGAATTCAGGATCCACGAGAACTCAGATATTATGGCGATGCTCGCCGTATCTGCCGTTCAATAAGGGATATGGTGGATAAAAACGGAAGCATCATTGGAATGCGAGCGAAGAGACTGATCATTGGGCAAGTATGTATGTCATCTTTTTGCGTGCCAGCAGTTTGTCTGCCGTTCTCATTCCGGCAGTCACTTACGTGATTGCAATTTTTCTGTAGCATTCGTTCTGAGAGTGAGAGACTCGAGAACGCATCACTATTATTAGACAAACATCCCTTGTAGACAAACCTAAATTGATTTTCCGCAGTCTTAAGTAGTACATAACTTGAAGGCAGTGTCCAAGCAAAAAGTCGATTTCGAGTTTTTGTGCTTACCTGCTCAGACAAATGCAGCGGGAAGTTCGCGGCCTCAACGCGAGTTACATGGCGCGCCGCGGCCCTTAAAATTTCAGCCACGCACGCCGCGGCCCATGTATATTTTACCGGGAACGCCGATGCCAAAGTTAAAATTGGGAAGAACTTATCGGGAGAGTCGCGGCCCAATCACCTCACTTGGCGTGCCGCGGGCCTTATCAAAAGCCGCACCTCTTGCACGCTGTAGCCTAAGGCGCAACCCGCGTGAGGTACGCCGCAGCGATGGGGCTACCCCAAGTGTTTGTTGGGCTGGTAATCGCTTCTCGGGTTGGGTTGTGTGACAGTTGAGTGTATATGCTCACGAAACAAACTTCAGCAATCGGTTGAGTGTTATCGACGACAGTAGACAATATCGACAGATGAGCCAACAAGTTGCTCAATTTGAACTCAGTCGTTGTCATGAAAGACAGGCCAAAATTTTTTCACTCTGCCTAGGATTCACCAACATGCTAACCGGGTCAACTATCGGGCGCTTACAGGATGCGCCGCGGTCACTTATCGGGTCCAATATCGTCTTTCACCGGGCAGCTCGCGGCATGGATGATTGGTGGCCGAGCAAGCACCCGCGAACTTCCCGATGCAATTGTCTGAGTGGGCCTATTCGCTAGCTGAATCCGAAAATCAACACTGAAGAGCGCGAAAACGGCGAAAAAAGGCTTCAACGGAGGAGGGAAATTGCAGGTGGGCGGGGCTGTTCACATAGTGGCGTCACTCTCCCAGCTTCAGGAGCTATCTTCCCGCTTCCGCTAGTCGCCCTAACATCACCACCAGCCAACTGCGAAACGCGTGACACAAAATTGGAACCGAGAAGATCGCTCCTAAAGCCTGGGAGAATGACGTCACGGTGTGAACGGCCCCGCCCACCTGCAATTTCCCTTCTGCGTTAGGGCCTTTTGGGCGTTTTCGCGCTCTCCACTGTGGTTTATCGGATTTAGCATGGCCAATAGGCCCGGGTAAGCACAAAATCTCAAAATCGACTTTTTGCTTGGACACTGCCTTTAACAAGAACAAACGACTTCATTACACACGTACCCTTTGATTTAAGATTGGCGGCTGGAAGGCGACCGCTCGAGCCGCGCGCAGTCTGCGTCTCCCTCGCGGGCGTGCTCTCTGATCATCCTCTAGCCTTGATTAGGCGGCGCCATATATTCCTACTGGGCTGGCTGCGCGGGCGGTTCGCGTGCGGCAGCCGTGAGTAGCCGGGGCGCGCATTGGATAGATATGACCAGGGTTGAGCGTCAGGTCAGGCGCGCCCGACCTGGGGGGTCGTCTTGAGGGTATAACTGAGGGGGGGGGGGGTTGTAATTGAACCGAATCCGTTTTGTTGGGGAGACACTACGAAGGTGAAGAAGAAATGCGCTAGTCCAGTGGCCGTATTCATCAACGAACCCTGAGGGTTAAGCTTACCCTCCAGGGTTAGTTTAACCCTCAGGGTTCATTGGCCGTATTCATCAACCATAGGCTAGGGTTTACCACGGAACGCGATCTACCCGTATCGATCAACGAACCTGTGGCCGTATTTATCAACCCCGAGGGTTAAACTAACCCTGGAGGGTTAAGGCGTCAGATACGCATGCGCTGTAAACTCACATCACAGAATGCCTAAGTACAAGCTAAATTCACTTTATACTTCTATTCTTTCACTGTTATAGTAGTATAGTCAACGAATAAGCTTCTAACACTAGTTTTTATAATACATCTCTAGCATACTTGTGCAGCATCCAATCTTACAGCAGTTTATTTTCATGTGTGCAATTGTGCAGTGTAAGTTTACTTTTGCGCAATTTGTTTTATACTGGGCTTGTGCTACTCTTTTAGGGGTCAATGCGTGTTATTATAAAGGGATTCTTCTTTTTTGGCACTTGTCAGAGTGGAATGCCATTTTTCCTCGTCGCATTCATTTGTCACCAAAGCTAGATTTCTTTTTCTCGCGAAGTCAGCGTTTTATGTACTTCGAATATAAACATAAAACGAAGTCGAAACTAAATACTATAACAACAACCAATACTAAATACTACAATACTCGTTGATCGTTTTCCATAAACTATTACATGCGAAATGTTTGTATGGAATGTTAGGGTAGAGTTAACCCTGCTATGAGCTAGGGTTAAATTAACCCTGATGAATCACGTAAGTTTAACCCTCCAGGGTTAGTTTAACCCTCACGGTTCGTTGATGAATACGGGTTAGTCGCTTTCGGGGTAAATTTAACCCTCAAGGTTAGATTTAATCCTCAGGGTTAAGCCTACCCTGCGTTTCATGAATACGGGTTAAACGCTTTCCAGGGTTAAACTAACCCTCCAGGGTTAGTTTAACCCTCGGGGTTCGTTGATGAATACGGCCACAGTAGATATCGCAATAACCAGTACTGAAGGAATGACGGTCGTAAATAGCATACTGATTGTTTCCACAATCGAAATTTCAGCCAAATTCAAGTCTTCATCTTTTACGAGGTCGCCATGTAAGCTTGCTGTGTGAAATTATGCCCGTAATCAGCATGTCAGATAACCTCTATGAGCTTTAAAGTCACTACCTACCGCATTTTCCAGTGTTTCGCAACGTCTAGAAAGCGTGATTTTCAGACATGATTAACTTGGCTTCAAAAGTGAAAATAGTCAGCTTTTTTATACTCATAGCAAAGTAACGTTCCCTACAAGTCTATGCTTGAAAGCAGGCTTCATATCGTTTTCAAATAGTTAAGTAAGAAGTGCTGCCAAATTTCCAACCGGCGCGTTCTTCACACTGAGTGCTTTAACTTTACGGATTACTACAAGGCCGAAACAAGTCGAAACAAGCTCAAAAACTTATTGCGAAATCTTCGAGAGTTGTGCTAGCGAATCACATGAAACTTGGATAGAAAAGCTCCTCGAAAATAAAGTTAATGGGGTCAGGCGCAACCCCTCAAAAGGTCAGGCCGCCTGAGCTTTTGAGGGGTTGCGCCTGACCCCCTTAACTTGCCTTCCATATTTGAAAATCGCTCTTTTTTTTAGTATGAGTGTTGAGCGCAATGCCTCTTCTTGCTATATTGAAAATTTATAGCCAAACACTCCACCACTGCAAAAACTATAACCCTGAAAAGAGGGCTATCCAAGTTCAAAACTTGCCGTCAAGTTGCGTGTGGTTGTGCAATCGCAGAAAGTTGGGCCTATGGCCAAAAAACAAGAACCCTCCAGTAAAGGCTGGTCTTTTTCAAAATATCAGAGTCTAAGGTCCTGGAGGTGAAGCGGAGGGGTCATTTTAGGGGCTTTCACAGGGGGGGGGGGTCGTTTTTGAAGGACTTGTGCCTGACCTCTTGCTCAACCCTGGATATGACATTGCTGTGTACCTCTTTTCGGCATCGGCTCAAATGTGCGAAAATTTTGCGCCTCGCAGGATAATGAAGGCTGCTATGCGCAAGGCGATGTTAATGAAAACATTGGTTTCTACTTCAGTAGCCGCTACCCTGATTTTTTAGTGCTTTGACTAACTGGCAGTCGAGGATACCCTACAACTCCTAATGCGTATTCGTATTTGAAACTAATTGCTTTTCTGCATATGAAAAGGGAAAAGGTTTCGAGTGTATTCGTGGCTTCTTCCTAGAATCATTTTCCGTGATCCATACATGTAAGCGTCAACATCAGTTGTGTGTCACTCCAGATATGTAGGAGTTATGTAAGAGTCTGCATCAAAACTCAAGTTTTGCAAACTTCTACGTTCAGAAATAAGCTAAATAATCCCATCATGCTGGATTAGATAAATAAAGAGGTCAGAAAGTATACAAGAAGCTTGCGTCGCCTACATTTTGACGTCAACCTTTTGGTCGAAATTCACTAAATCTCCAGTATTAGCCACTCAGCAAACTTTGCTTCGAGTAGCTTGTTGGCTGAATCCCCTAATCTTTTGGGCATATATGGCTGTGTTCGCAAGTAATCGAGATGAAAACGGCTAGTGCTAACCAATAAGAGTAATGATTCCTAGAAAATATACAACTCAGCCGACACTTTGGATGAGTTGGCACTGCAAAAAATGTCCTGCACCACACGAATTCTACATTTGTGTGTTCTTATTAAGTATTCTCTAATATATGCATCCGTTGATCGATTCATGAGAGTAATGTCAGAAGCGTTCCTAAAAACGCAAAATAGTACTTGATGAACACTCAACTTCAAGAATCTGATCTCTGTTTGGTTGGTATCAGTTATGAAACCGTAAAGTATACCAAGTGGCATAGGTGCGATGGGGTGAGCAAAAGTTCACCCCCCCCCCCTTCACTTTGGAGGTCGGACCACCCCCCCCCCTTCACCTGACGGACGAAAATTTTTTTTCAAGGTGAGGAATTACTGCACGATTTCAAAAATATCAGTGAACAAATGCATTTTTAGAAGGATCGAACGCAGAATCTTATAAAAATGATTTTGACCGACAATAACATGGGCAGCGGACAATGGCAGTTATTTTAGAGGCGCTGTTGGACATTTACCTGGAGAATTTGATCTGAATGATGTTAATATAAGACCTTGCATTGATCATGAATTTTTATTTATTTTTTTTGCTAATAAATTTTTATGTCGGTATTATGTAGTACAATAAAAGAATTTTTTGTTCATTTGTGTTCGCTTAAAGCATGATAAAGATATAGAGTCCAGAACAATGATAAAAATAGTACAAATGATGTCAGGAGAAATTTTTAGGGCAGTACAGTTGCAGTCACAATGTTGGCCATATTTAAGAAAAGTCAGTTTTTGAGTCAGTATAACTTGAGTAATTTGCAGAATGTTATCTTGCGAGAGTATAGGCGTTAATAAGGAACCTTTCCTCTACCACATAGAAAAAAAAGTAGATCCTAAAAAGTATTCCTCTTAGAGTTATGAAGTTGCAAATAGAGCAGAAATCACGACTCCAAAAATCGATTTTTCGCAAATAACTTGTGTGTATGTGAACGAATTTGAGTGGGAAGGATATAGGTAGATTGTACTCATCAAGAGCTCTCGATTGATGTATAGCATGTGGGGGTCCTGTGTTTTTTAAGCCCTGCGAGGGTGGGTGATCGGCCTCAGTTCAGGGTGATCACCCCGCCACCTTAATGCATTGGAGAGGCGCCGGCAGGTGATCACCCTGAACTGAGCCCGATCACCCCCCCCCCTTCCCGCAACCCGGAAGCATCAAACCCCCACATATTTTATATCATTCGAAAGTTCTTGAGGAGACGAATCCAGCTATACTATTCCCGTTTTGATTTATTTACTTATATAAAAGTTATATTAAAAAAATCGATTTTTGATGGGTTTTTTGTAGCTTCATATCTCGGCGATGGGGGCATTTCATGCTTCAGTTTGTTCTGCATCTTACAGAGGGAGGTTTACTGAGTCTTACCTATACCCTCGCAGAAAGATCGGATATACTGAAGGAGAGTTACAGCAAGGAACAAAAGGCGCTTGAAAAACACAGGTAAATTTGGAATTTAAGTCAGTCGCTCTCGTGGAATCTCTTTGCGAGGGTATAGGTAATGCTAAATGGACCTCCCTCTTGAAGATGCAAAAAAATTGAATCATGAAATGCCCCCACCGTGGAGATATGGGGCCCTGACCTGGAGGGGGGGGGTCCGTTGGACCTCTGGAAACTATCTCACCTGGCAAAGATATTGAACTCACAAATTATATATCGTTGTATAGCTTTTGAAGGCTAGAATCCGAATCTAGCTCAAAATTGGCTTTAGCCCATTTATACAAGAGTTATACTAGAAAGCGAGCTACTGCAAGTTACACAAGTTAGAAAAAGTAACCTTGCTCAATTATCGTCAACATCGTAGCTTCAATTTTTACTGCCCTAGGAATTTCTCCTAACATCAGTTATACTAGTCTTATCACTGTGCTACACTGTTTATGTTTATTCTGCTTCACGTGGACACAATTGAGCAACAAATTTTTTTATTGTACTCCATAGATACCGACTTACGGATTTATTTGCAACAATAATTCCTAATCATTGCGGGGTCTCTTATTAGCATTATCCACATTTGTACGTTCCAGGTAAAACTTCATTCAGCACCTTCCAAGCCTCGACATCTGCCATTGTCCATTGTAATTTTCGGTCGAAATCACATTTACAACATTACACGTTCCACCCACCTAAACATGCATCTTCTCACCGAAAAATGGTGTATGAAAATGAAATAATATTTATATAAATTTAAAATAAAGTACTTATAAACATTTCACTAATTATATTTCATACAAATCCAGTTTAGAGAATTTGACCATTCAAACTGGATAATTTTATAATTTTCACCATTTTTTCAACCCCCCCCCCCCGGTCGACGCCGGCACTTTCCAGACACCCTTCACTTTTGGGGGTCAAAATCAGCTGGGACACCCTTCACTTTCGAGGGACCCCGATCACCCCATCGCACCTATGCCAAGTGGTGAGAGATTCGAAAACTACTGTAACTGACTACATTCCAGTGGTTTGCAAAATCTTACGCACTCTTCAAAGTTCAACGAACAAGTGAGCGTCAGATGTTAACTAGAAATTCTTGCTAGAACATAAGCGAGCAATCTCATTACCTATGATATGATATATACCTATATGACAACTTGGTGCCCAATCGTAATGGTGACCCGATTAGCGAAGGTGAGCTTACTCTCGTTACTTTGGGAAGGTTTCTTTGTGATCAAGAGACTCAAAGTCAGTGAGTAAAATAAGCAACTATCAATAGCTTCTAAGCAGCGACAGGAAATCCTCGAAAAATGATGTATAGGATCAGTCGGCTTTATTCGGCTATCCGGGCCCCAAAATTTTTTTGTCATGGATTTCGCTCAAACTTAGCAAAGGGGGTGGGGGTGTATCTGACATGCTGATCACGAATATCACCTTTTCTCCGCAGGAAAACGCCTCTCTGCAGGGTTACGGTAGGTATACGGTAGAGGGTCAAAAAAATCACGGGTTTGTCCGAAACTTCGTCTAGAGGGGTTATTTGGCATGCTGAATACGAATATGATGTGTATTTCGTGCGACAACACCATCCGGTGGAGTTACGGTAGGACTAGTACAGGGTCAAAATCACGGATTCGCCCGAAACTTGGCCCCGAGGGGTTATTCGGCCCGCTGATGCCAAATATCACATTGGTTTTAAAGCATAGCGTCATTTTCTCGGGTTATGGTAGCTACACGGTAACGGGTGTAAAACATAGTTCTGTCTGAAACGGTGTGGGGCGATTCGGACGATCGTGAAGCTTTGCACACCCGACCATCGCCGCGCGCTACACCCTGCTGCGGCTTTTGCCTAAGCAAAGCACAGGGGAAAGATACATTTGCCGATTTGTGATTTTGACCCCTACCGTAAACCCACCGTACCCGAGAAGATGACGCTACGGTACAAAACCAATGTGATATTCAGCGTAAGCGGACCGAATAACCCCCCTGGGCCAAGTTTCATCCAAATCTATGATTTTGCCCCTCTACCGTATACCTACCGTAACCCTGCAGGGAGGCGTTTTCTTGTGGAGAAAAGGTGATATTCGTGATCAGCATGTCAGATAACTCCTCTGGGCCAAGTTTGAGCGAAATCCATGACAAAAAAATTTTGGGGCCCGGATGGCCGAATAGCGCCGGGAAGTCTTGGACGAACATTATGACAGATAAGCAATGAATGCCTTTGTATAGGCGTTTGCCATGCGGATAGCGGGCGTGGCCCTGCAGACATTTGAACACGTTGAAAAACTTGTTGAACCTCCTTTCTAAAGCATTAGTTTTTGTACTCTCTAGCTGCCAAAAACTGCCACGCGCATACGTTGACAAACGTCGACAAAGGTCCACCCGCTGCGGGAAAAGGACGATAGCATTCTCCCTTTTAGCTGACTACGACTGATACGTAATGGAGCGCAAATCCTTCTCAGCACGTTTGGGTCGAGAGGGTAATCTAAACTAACTCGCAGCTGTGGGAAGGATTCGCGCCCTACGTACAGGGGTGCCGCGCGCGAGCCGCCCGCGCAGCCAGCCCGGTGGGAATAGATGGCGCCTGATTAGGCCTCGAAGCCCTGCCTTTCAGCCGCCAATCCGGTTGGGTCAAAGGGTACTCGAACCTCGTAGTTGTGTCACAATGGATGATGTAGATATAGTGAGTCGAATTTCGCAGCATAACTGCTGCAAATTGTTTTAAATCTTTTTCCAGCATACCTCGTTTGATCGTTTTTCGAGACGCTTTGTAGTGCCGAAACTTGTTGAGCTTCCAAAATGTCTGGATTTTTATAAATTTGTCTACGTTGAGCAGACGTTATTCTATAAGATAAGTTCCTCGACTCCGAATTATTTCTGAGAGCGCCAACATATCATTGCTTGAGCTTAATCAAAGTTATTTCAGGTTACATTTAATTGGGTTACTCTCAATCGTATAGTCAGGAGTTTGCGAGAGAATCACGGACAACACTTTGCGATGATCTTTTTTGGCGTTAATTTCATTGGCCAAGCAAATTTGATGATTGAACTTTTGAAACTTGCACGTACTGTTTATCTGGTCATGATCGACTGTCGAATTCCTGGAGACTTCGTGATATCTTTGAGAAACATGTTTGGGCGGCGCCATCTCCTCGAATGGGTTTGTTAGCAGCCTAGTACAGTTTAGAAAATGATGGTTTACGTAGTGCCTCTGCAGTGCTGGTAAGAATACCGAAAATGCTGTATTGTGAGTGCTGCCGGTTCGGTTGCGACTTGTTTCGGAAGACTTGGTGATTGAGCACAAAACTGCCTTGATCTATTTATAAATGTTATCGAGCACCACGCAAGGGCACTATAGTAGCCGTTGAACTTTTGAAGCTCTAAACTTACTGTTCAGGTATATCTGGATATGGAAGATCTCACAAAAGTGATCTCACGGCTCTAATCAAAAGCAGTGGCTCGGCAAACTCTCGATGGAAATTTCTTGCTTACCAGGGGTTACCCGACGCTTGTTCCAAAAACCCACTTTGGTAGACGCGAGGATGGTGAAAACGCTTCCCAATGCCCTCGATTCCGAATTTGGACGAGTAAAATAGTTTACGCCCTGGGTATAGACGCGAGTCGTTGCGGGAGGGTAGAGGAACGAACCCTCAATTAGGCACCCCCTCCGCGGACTGCTGGTCCTAACACGATGCACAACAGTGGGACGAAAGGACCAGCAGCCCGCAGAGGCGTGGCCCAATTCAATGAGGTGTTCGTTCCTCTACCCGTTTTGGGACCTTTGCGGTTATATCACTGCGACATGCCGTTTCCGATGATGGGAGGGGAGTCCTGAGCTCGTTCGAGCGCGTGTCAAAATGCGCTCGGACGAGCTCACGACTTGGGCGAGACTTGCACGGGACTAAGGGCAATCTTCTCGGCAGGGTGGGAGGGGGGGGGGGGGGGGGGGGTGGGGGGGAGGTGCTGAGCGACCGGAGTTGGCCTTTTTCATGTTCGGGAGGTAAGCAATCCATCACATCGAAATCTCAATACATGCAGTTTGGCAAGCCACTGCCTTTATGACACTGCCTAAGAGGCAGCTCAGATGGAGCACTCGCGTCTGAATACTCATCTCCAAATCAGGCCCTCCGTATCGTACTAAGGGATGGGTTACACATGCTTGCAAGGTCCCACACCAGGACTCATCAGGTTCGCATGGGTCCTCACGCGAAAGCATGCAAACACGATGCAATTCGTCTTTACACACTATAGCCCAGTTTGGAGGCGAATTTCTCAGCTGTGAGTGGAATTGCGCTGCCTTTTAGGCAGATTTTGGGCCCGTATGCACCAACATTCCTGCGGCGAGGACAATGGCGTTTCCAATGGATGCGGTCCCTTCATAACGAGAAATTCCGCTCACTTCACCGCAGGGGTGTTAGTACATACGGACTTTAGTTAGTACCTCGAGATCGTTCTTCACTTGATATCCCTATGCGCCCAAATTTGCCTGGATGCTGAATTTGAATGCAGTGGCTTGGGAAAATTGCAATTACGAGCTTTCCATCCCTGTTCGGCCTTCTGAATGTGCCGAGTCCAGGGCTATGCTTAAAGGCACCGTCCACCCAAATTGAGGGGTTGGTGAGATTATGATATCTAGCAGCTGCGGGGCCCCCAAATGTATGATTGCCAAACTCGCGCTGCCTAAAGTTGCTTCCGAAGCGAGAAAATTGCTTCGGAAATCGCTCCAGGTGACGTTCGCGACGCTGGCTCCTCCCCTTTCGGAGTGGGCGTGACGTTCGTCCCGCCCATCCGTGCGCGCCCAACCAATCACCGTACTGAAGAAATCGCTCTGCGGGTTCTGAAAACGGGGGTTTTCGTGGTTTTCGCGCATTTTCGATTTGATATTCGGAATCAGGGGTATGAGAAAGGCCAGGAACGGCAGAAACATGGAGGTCGAAATTTTGGGTGGACGGTGCCTTTAAAAAGTCGAAAAATGCTTTTCGTGCTTTTCGGTCTTGGGGATTGCTGGGGGGAATGGGCGAGGGATCGCCAATTGAGTCGCGATTAATTGTCTGTGCTGATCAGCCAATTGCCGCCAAATGAGTGAAGTTACACTGCGCCGCAGCCAGTCGTTATTTTTGGTTGGAATCCTCGCCCAGTCCCCTCAGCAATCTCCAAGGCCGGGAAATGCCGAAGAAGCGCTTCTTTGACTTTTCAAGCACAGTCTTCTACTCAGCGGATCTAGAGGGTCATGTAGGTGCGAAAAGCTCGCAATTCTACCAAGCCATTGCCTTTAACGGCTAGATCCGGACGGCGGATGCCCATACGCGGGAACGCGCGCAGCGATTGGGAATGGGTCAGGTGTCACAATTCGCGCGGGTTTTCCACTCTTACCTTCCAAACTCCCCCCCCCCCCCCCCCCCTCCCCCATGCTCACCCGGGAACTTTAGTAGCGGGTTCTGATGAAGCACAAAATTTGAGCACGGGCGCGCGGCAAAACGGACGCCGTGCAGACCAGTGCTTGGAACGTGCTGGTTCGAGTATTTTTAAAAACGAAGTTCCACTCTTAAACTTGGTAATCAGACGGATGCGAAGGAAGCGTGCTTGTGGCTCCTAGTCTGAGAATGAATAATATGTACTTTTGACGTTTTGCGATAGCCCTTCTGCTATTCACCCCCAGAAGCGAAGGTTACTTCAGTACTTCAGTGCTGGGCCTTCGGTGACTCCTGATCCGTGGCCCGGTTATCGGCCTTTGCTGTCTGCATCGCATGCGGCCCGGTAACGATAGTGCTCGACTGCCGCATTTGCATCGCTCCGCGACGACAGATCATGCGCCTTCGTCCTGGATCAGCCTTTACTGCACATATTTTTTCAGTTACGATATTATTTTGTTGGATCTGCAGACAGTTTCGAAGTGTACTTCAGAATGCTTATCTTGGAGATTGAACTTGAGGTTTGATTATACTTATAGAATTGACTTATAGATTTGTAAACACAGTTCTTCAAAGAAGTCCAGCTTAGAAAAAATGCAAATCAGGCAATTACGAGTGGCCTATGTATGGCTTTGACACGCTGACGTTCGTTGCAGACTTGTTCCTAAGCAGACTTCTTTTGGAACTTATGAATTTAATTGTGCAAAAGATCATAAAGAGTGACATTTACAGTGGATACATTCACTTGTGTCAGAAACTCTCGGTCCTGCTCGAGTCACATCTTCTGGTGATGGGTTTCTGTTTTGTGAGCATTATTTTGTCCGTCGCAACGCTGATTACGTGCGTGACATCACAGTCATATGTACAATACCGAATGACTATTCGCCGTACTATAAGATGGAGTTCCAACTCTCCGGTGGCTCGTTTGACTGTGCCGGTACAGTGGTAGATTTTTTGCGGGTACGGTGGTAGATTTTAGATTCTAGTAGATTTTCCAATCAATACAGTATGGCTGCGGTGCCGGATCTGGACGACCAGGTCTAAACGTGAACACAAATTACGCCAGTAATGTCGACATTCTGTGCGCGCAAGTGACCGGCACTACAGGCGTAGCTATTCGTCTGCGCGCAAACTTCGTCGCCTTTTCTCGGCACCGCAAGCGCACTATATTGAGCAGAAAATTTACATACTGTATTTCGGTATCCTCGGATCACTCGCTTTTGAAGTACGGTTTTACTAAGTGTGTTGAGTCATATCACTGAATCTGATCTGCTTCCAAGCCCTATAAGAATTTCTTTATGTGCAGTCTATCCGGATTAAGTTTTATTCCACTTTCTTCATTCATTTACGGATATTATTCTTAGGTTTCGAGGCATTCCCATAGTGGTATCTCAAGTCTAATTTTTTTTAACTGCTCAAAGTTTTCTTCCCATTTTTTTGAATTGTTTTATGAATTTTTGGGAGTATCAGTGCTAATAAACAACAATTCGGAGGTCTCAGTTTTCCAGTGACGCAAGCTCAAAATTTGTCAAAAATGATTCAAACTAATTTCTGGTTTGGAAAAGTGAACTTTTGAATATGGCACCCACATAGAAAAAATGCTTTAATTATGTGAAGGTTAATGAAGATAGAGGAGGATTTCTTCAAATGTAACGGAACTTATGCGTTGAATACATGAATTATGCTTATAATTGAGTTTCGCTCCTTCAAACTGTCTTCATAATCATCAGTAAGAAAACGTTCTTTCTCTTTGCTAATCTAGCACATCGCTTCTTCTTTATTCTTGTAATTTTTGATTGCCCAAGAAGAGGATCTACAAGAGAGTCAACTCCAGCATTGAACTTTTCGGACAAAAAATGTGTAGATAAAGAAAAAGAGGATAAGCTCTTTGCTGAAGAGAATTAGATGGGCAAAGAATAAGATGTCAGTTTGGGTAGTGGAATTTCAGCTCACTGATAATAAGAAGCAGCCTCTTAATTTTCGAGTTTCACTCGTCTGTGTTACTGTTCATTTTTATTGAATGAATAGATTTTTTTGGAGTGGGGATCTAATTAGGTTGGCATATTCAATCAAACAATGTTACTATCTTCGTGTCGTTAAGGCTTTGTGCTGAAATAAGTCAATATCGTAAGAAATTCTCATTTTTGCTGTTTCGAATGTTCCATATCTCCTCTTGCATATTTGATCTTAGCTGCGCAAACTTACGCTTTGCGTCGAAAACCCAGTGTTTTCAGTGCTGTAAGCTGCTCTCTATGGATCTGATCTAATGGTTCATGCCACTCGCTTACTTTGCTATATGTCAGCGGATTGAAGTTCCTCATATTGTACATTTCGTTTCTGTGTTGTGTATCGTTTTATAATAAACGCGAAGACTGAGGATCTGTGCTACCTCGATGGACTGCTCAGTCACAGCTAACCACTACCTACATAAATGATTCTCTTCCACCATGTGCAATCTACGTGCACGCATTTATGGACAGAACTACATTGAGGCTGATTTGAAATTTTGTTCAAGTCTTTAAAAGTCAGAATCAGAATTTCTGCAGCTGAAACCCCAAATTTTGAATTATTTTATGATTTTTTTCCAAAGATTTTTCCCACGTAATCCGTTTATCCAATCTCTCCGCTCAGCCCATTTTAGACCTACAAAATTCACGAAAGGACTTATCATGCGAAAAGAGCGCGATATACATGATCAGCACCCACGTAACACCCCCTTGGACAAAGTTTCGAAGATCTATTATTTTAGCCACTTACCGCACACCGGTCGTGATTCCGCGGATCCAAGAACTCAAAAAGATTAAGATTCGATAGAGTTTAGAGTGATTATAGAGTTACAGAGTGATTTATTTTTTGGGTCAAATGATGTGGATCAGTACCCATTCCGCCGGACCTATATTTGAACCAAATTAAATGATTTTCTAAGCATGCGAATGATTCGAAAATTTCTGATTTCGCCTTCGTATGTCGAGTATCGAAAATCTCAATCTCAAACATCGAGATGCTATCATTCGATGGTTTTCGAATATTCGAACGATCGTTGGACATCGAACTATCACAAGTGTTATGAGGAGTGTACAGTCTGGGTCAATGCACATGGGTTTTTTTCCAACGTATGTACAAAACTGCGTCTGCAAGGGGTCACTTCACGCATACCCTCGACGTCAATCCCTAAGTTACATTTGCAAAGTGGAGTGGTGTGGTGCAGCCGCCTCGCTTTGCGCTCGCGCCACGTTGCTGGGGCATCGTATAGACGTGATGTGGCGCTTAAAACAACGTGGCGCCACAACATGTTCAAACGTGGCAACAAGAACAAAGTTTCTTCGTTGCTCCTGTTGCCACGCCATGCCAACTCATGCGCTCGCGAGCCCAAAGCGAGGCGGCCGCACCACAACACTCCACTTTGCAAATGTAACTTAGGGATTGACGTCGAGGGTAGGCATATCGATATGATTGATAAGACATGACAAGCCTGAAGAGGTGGCACGAGAGCTGGCAGAGCTCGAGCGGATTAAAATTAGAAAAAAAAAACCACAACATATGACACAAATTGCATCATTCATTCTCTGACAAAGAGACATGAGCATGGTTCGCGTTATAGTTGTAACCAGGGCTCGGCACGAGCTGGCACCAGGGAATTTTGAAAACGAAGTCCCCTTTGAAATTTGCCAATTTTTACGAAGTCCCCCTTGACTTTTGGGAAATTTTACGAAGTCCCCTTTGATCCTCAACGATATCCCCCCTAAAATCCTAAAAAAATCCCCAAAATCCCCCAAAAAACGAAACGTCGACTAAAAAAAAAAAAAAAAAAAAAAAAGGTCGCCGCCGCCAATTTTCCGTATGTCTTCGCCCACAAAAACGAAACCCCCTTTGCTTTTTGCCCCAAAAACGATATCCAGCTTGCCCCGTTCCAGCTGGTGCCAGGCCCTGGTTGTAACGAACGGATTTTTCAGCATGAACGAATATCGGAAAATGATTTTTGAGAAAATTTCGAACGGATGAATGTCTGATTGATTTTTGAAAAATTTTCAAATGAACGAATATTATTCGACTTCCGATTTTTATATTATCCAAATTCAAATATTCGAACCTAGGCACATTCAAAAATTCGAACTTCCGAATATTCGAACAACCCGAACTATCGAATATTCGACTGTTCGAACGACGGTTTTTACTTCTCAGTAATCGAATATTCAAATAATTGTCTTTTAGAATTCCACGAATATTCGAACATTCGATCAAGCTAATCGGAAACGAATTATTCGAATAAAAACCTTTTTCGTTTTGGGACTACTCGAATAATCGAATAATCGGACTTTCTCGAATATTCGACTAGTCAAATATTTCGAATAAATTTTTCAAGTACGAATATTCGCTTCCAGATATAGTTTGCGTGTTGCGCGCGTCTGATCAACAAGTTTAGGAGCGTTTTAACGCGTTTTGGTGTATTACTATAGCGAATTCATGGAAGAATATGTTCAAACTCGCGTTGTTTGACAAGCTCAAACATGTTCTTTCACGAATTTCCAATAGTAATTCATTGAAACGCGTCAAAACGCATTCATGAATGTTAATCAGACGTAGCAAAGCGTGCTGTGTCTCTACTTAGTCATAGAATGACTAGTGAACCAGTAATTGAAGGGCTAGATTTGGACCGCACTGCGGGTTCCCGCTACTTACAAATTTTTGAATGCGCGTTACGATTCTTCATATATTAGATTAGATTGGGTAGAGGACTATAGTCCCCGCGGTCATTTGCGACAAATACGCACCCTTGTATATGCGCGGACAAGCGTTACCGCAGGAAATCCGCGCGGGACTCTTACACATTAGTATAGTATAGTCCTCCCCCGATTAGATTAGATATGTGTTTTGGTCCTGGCGCGATAAGTTGTCCTCTTGTGCATTTTCCATGTCGCAGTATGCGCTATCGATTTTTTCGCTAGCTAAGGACGCCAAGTTCTGGCCCGAAAATCTTCTTCAATATTTCCAACAATTTCCTCCACAAAAATCCCATATTCTCAATCTCTCGATGTTTCGATTAGGTTCAACATTATAAAGTTCAACAATCACAGAATCGTCCTCGTAATGAATTCTACCGCAGGTCTTTTGCGTGCATAAATTTGTGAGGAGATGAATAGTACTGTATGCGTTGTAAAAGTAGTAGTTGCAAGGACGCAAAGTCCCAATCACACTGCTAGTAAGTTGATAACAAGGTGCCCGGCCAGTTCCCAACATCACATACATAATAGATCGTCAATTCAACATCCATATTCGGCCGAAGTACACTGCAGAATCCCTTGCGATAGGGGTCCCGGAAGGAATCTCGCACTCACACTGAGGGTGCCTTCATACCACGCCGGCAGCCGCCGCTAGCAGCCCGTAACAGCCGCCAGCAGCCCGTAGCAGCCCGCAGCAGCCGCCAGCAGCCGCCAGCAGCCCGTAGCAGCCGCCAGCAGCCGCCAGCAGCCCGCAGCAGCCCGCAGCAGCCGCTGGCCGCTTTTGTTAAAGAGGCAAAATCATCAGAATCATCAGAATCTTACTACTTTGAGTGCTCCTGCCTACGCTTTTCATCTTACACGCTTTTTCTTCTGTTACCACCAGTGTGTAGCTCGACTTTGCATATTACATTTGTGTTCATTGTTTTGCTGCCGCACAGCGCATCTTATCGGTGCCCAAATTTCACTTTTGCAAACTGTCTTGTCTAAAACGAATGTGAGTCATTGTCAAAATTGAGAGAACCCACCCGCGAATCAACTCGGCGAAACTGCGAAATAGTAGCAATGCAGATATGCACCGATAGCCAAGAAAAACATTGAAGCAAAAGCATACTCAAAAAGTAAACAAATTGCACACCTGCAGGAACTAGACGCATTCAAAGTCAGAAGGAGTCACACCGGAAAGAATCTTCTGCAAACTATGGTTCAAAACAGGATGACCATGGGCGGCATTGTAATGAAATGGACACAAATATGATTTGTGAGATCGAACTACCCACTGGCAACAACAGAAGAATAGGCAGGAGCACTTAAAGTAGTTTTTAAATGATTCTGCGCTTCTATAACAAAAGCGGCCAGCGGCGGCTACGGGCTGCTGCGGGCTGCTGGCGGCTGCTGGCGGCTGCTACGGGCTGCTGGCGGCTGCTGGCGGCTGCTACGGGCTGCTAGCGGCGGCTGCTGGCGCGGTATGAAGGCACCCTGACGCATTTTTTGTGCATAGTGAAGTTTTCCTCTTCGCTCTTCCGCAAAACTCCTAGCTGTTTCAACTTACAATTAGGACAGCGTGCACAAATCCTTGCGACTCGTTTAATGGCACCCTTCCATCGTAAGAGATCGCAGCGATGGCGCACGCTCCCATCTCACGACGAAGGGTGCCGGTTCCCTCGCTAGAGAAAACATCTTGCATACGCGTTTTAGTTAAAGGCAGTTTTTCTTTACTCTCGCATTGTTCACTTGTATGGCGTCTGCTACTCTTTCATTATCATTCTGTTTAATACAATCTCGGATTCCATAGCAAAGAACAGTAAAAAAATTCTTTAGCCGTACACTACAAACTGTAACAAAAAAGATCATTATATCATCGATATACAGTCGTTTTCAATACGTATTGGTTTTTTCTACCGTATGCCTTCCAGCCTCAACATGACGTGGGGGTGGAGGACATTAGGTCGCCGAATTTGGAAGAGTCCCGCGCGGATTCCCTGCAGGAACGCATGTCCGCGTATGTACAAGCGTGCGTATTTGTCGCAAATGACCGCGGGCACCGCCCTCTTTCGGCGACCTAATGTCCTCCACCCCATGACGTGGATTGGTGTGGATTGGTGCGGCGCCGCCGAGAAAAGCAACGCGGCGCAAACCCGAAGCGATGCGGCCCCTCACCAGTCCATACCAATCCACACCAATCCAAGTCATTTTGAGGCTGGAAGGCATACGGTAGAAAAAACCAATATGTATTGAAAATAACTGTATCTATCATCAACTCCACGATTCGTGTGGAGGCGGGGATTTGCCAACTCAAAGCGTGGCGGTTTTTGATAGCGAGAGAGTTTAAAAAACAATGTATGACGTGGAGGTTTAACAAGTTTACCTGTATCAGGCAAAGTCTGCAATACACCTCGAAACGAATCGTGGAGACGATCATACTCTGCTACTCTTATAAGTCTTTTCCATTCTTCGCGATCAGCTTGATGTTGATCTATCTGAAGTTCTTCCAAGTCCCCTTCAACTTTATCCATCCACCTTTGTTTCGGTCTTCCTTTTGTTCACACTGCCTTTAACAATAAACCTCTTTCAGTCAAAGGCAGTGTCCGAGCAAAAAGTCGATTTCGAGATTTTGTGCTTACCCTGGGCCTTTTGGGCCTATTCGCCATGCTAGATTCGATAAACCACAACGAAGAGCGCAAAAACGCCAAAAAAAGGCCCTAACGCAGGAGGGAAATCGCAGGTGGGCGGGGCCGTTCACACCGTGACGTCACTCTCCCAGGCTTTAGGAGCGATCTTCTCGGTTCCGATTTTATGTCATGCGTTTCGCAGTTGGCTGGTGGTGATGTTAGGGCGACTAGCGAAAGCGAGACTATCGCTTCTGATGCTGGGAGAGTAACGTCACTATGTGAACAGCCCCGCCCACTTGCATTTTCCCTCCTCCGTTGGAACCTTTTTTCGCCGTTTTCGCGCTCTTCAGTGTTGATTTTCGGATTCAGCATAGCGAATAGGCCCAGGTAAGCACAAAATCTCGAAATCGACTTTTTGCTTGGAGACTGCCTTTGAGCGAATTGCGTTTAAGTAATATCTGCTGCATGACGAAAGCGGTTGCCCAAATAGGTTGAAGGCTGTTGCGCACGCGGCGCGCGGGCAATTGTCAGCCACGGGGCGCGCGCACGCTCTAGTGGATGACCGCTGACCGAGCATGCGCGCGCCCGGTGGTTGACAATTGCCCGCGCGCCGCGTGCGCAACAGCCTTCAACCTATTTTGGCAACCGCCTTCGTCATGCAGCAGATATTATGCCGATGAGACTTCGTTCAGGCAGAGTAGGATCAGTATTGCATACGAAGATGACCACCATTCACGAGCAAGGAGACTGCGTGCACTTTCCGTTCTTGCAACTCCCACCTGAGCTGCGCCTCCGCATATTGAAATATGTGCTGCAGGTTTGTGGCTCTATTTGAAAACTTAAAGCATTCAAATCCCGTTCATCAAGTTTACTAACTAGTGCTGTGGGTAACTAGTGCCTCAACCGCAATTCCGCGTAGATGGAACAGAAGTAAAAAGATTGAATGTCTTTAACGGGCGCGGTAGATTCAAGAGGTATGGGGCTTGGTAAGTGTGCGATCGTTGCACGCGCAGGAAGCCACAAGGCCTCAAACCTTTAACAGTACCGTATTTTTCAGATTTGTTTCAGATAGGGCTCTTCTATACGAAGGCGGTCGGTTCAATGTGCGACGCGGGTGCGACACGCGTGTTCGAGCATCTCCTATCATTTAAGTTCGTACTCGCACACTCCTCGCGTGCATGGGCGGTCGCCTTCGTCTCGGATTATCTTTAAATTGTAAGGTAACATCTGATAGCCGAAAAGCTAGACGAGCAGGCTGCAAACCCGACGCAAAACTCTAGCGACGCGGGCTCCCGCCATGCCATTTTTAGCCTTTGAAATTGGGACAGAGTACGGTTCTAAAGTTTTGCTAAACATCTCGAAAATATTCCCAAGGACGTAATACATTATTCACACGTGTTGTCACGTATGAATAGCACAGCTAGAATCTAGTGGAGCTGGATATGCCCGCTACTCCAAATGAGGTTCTAAGAGCATGTTTGCAAAATTCCAAATCGCCCATCCTTGCAATTATGCGTCTTCCAGGATCCACGTCAACTCAAATACTATGATGATCCTCGCCTTATCTGTCGGGCAGTCAGGGATATTGTTGATAACAATAGAAGAATCGTTGGAGGAATACGAGCAAAAAGAGTAATAATTGGACAGGTGCGTCATTCTGTTATGTGCCATTTCAGCATTCGAGCGATATGATTACACTAATTTTGTATTTACATTGCCATGCCAATGTAGAAACGACGTTTTTCATGTTTGTTGCGAATTAATTACGGTGCTATTCCACCAATACAACTTAAAAATTGAAAATCACGGATTTCGCTAAAATTTGCGTAGGAGGGGGGGGGGGGTACTTGACCTGCTGACCACGGAAGTGATAAGCATTCTGCAAAGTAGGGCCTATGTGATGGGTTGCGGTAGGCATACGGTATAGAGTCGAAATCTGAGACTTTGCTGCTTTGCGTGGGGGGGGACGGGGTTTATTCGACGTGCTGATCATTAATATCACACTTTTTCGGCACGAGAATGTCTCCCTTTATGGTTACGGTAGGTGTAGGTAGAGGGTCAATATCTAGATCTGGCTGGGACTTGGTATGGAGGAGTTTTAGCATGCTGAAGATGGGCATTGTGTTGATAATGGTACCGCCATTTTATCGAGTTACGGTAGATACGGTAGGTAGATGAACTCCAAATCTGCTCGGAACGTTGTCTAAAGGGGTTTTGAGCATGCTTTGAGGTATATTAGCTCGCTTGCTGCAACAACGCTCTATCATGGAGTTAGGTTTTGCAGCGTTTAGGTAAAAGTCTTTCCAGTTTTTCAGACCAATTAAGATCCCAAAATTCAAGGACAAGGATTTGTAAGCAAAATGAGCGTGATCTTTGAGATCAGCACATCCGATTACACCACCTGCACGAAGTTCCAAGCAGACATACAGTTTTGACCCCTTACCATGTACTGTCGTTACCATACAAGGAGAAGTTTTCGTGCGCAAAAAGTGAGGTGTTCGTGATGAGCCTGTCGGATAACCCTCATACGCAAAGTTTTAGCGAATTCTGAGATTTTGATCCCATACCGTATGCCTGCCGCAACCCTCAAAAAGGCTCCACCATCCAAAATGAAAATCATTGTGATCGGCAGGTCGAATAACCCCCTAAGCGAATTCAAGCGAAATCCATAATTTTCAATTTTTCGGCTGTTTTTAGTAGAATAGTATCGTCGATTCGTTGACCGCACAGATTGCTCAAACGCTTCGGACCACGCGCGGCGCGGCTGAATTGTGCGAGAGCACGACTTGTATAGTATCTTTCAACCCAGAATAGGCGAAACATTTCAAGTGGTGCAGCGCGTTCACACCGCCACTGGCTCAGCGAGTTAGATTAAGATGAAGAGACGCAGGCTGCAAAGCGCGCGCGAATCGTTGCGAAGCGAGCTCCCGCCAGTCCAATTTCCGCCTAAACTGAGTTGAAACTTACTATACAACGGCGAATTTTTACTGGGGCAAGCGTTTTACCTTGCGGCGCGTGCTCCGCAGTGATCTTCAGTCCATGGTCAAGGAATCAACTATACCATTGTTTTTACTTTTTAGTCCAGTATTCTTATAATCTTCTCGACTGTATCGCAACTGTCAGCTCCACTCGTATTTCAAAAGTAGTGGAGTTACACAAAATGGCTCTTGAAACGAGCACTAGTCACCCTCTATCTCATTTGGAATGAGCCTGACTAGAGCGGCTCCCATTTCGCAAGACCGCCTTGCTTGGGTTCTGCACCTCTTTCAACGTGCTCTATGATCATTTCTTCACGCTTGATTAGCTAACGAAGCTTGGCTTTTGCCACGCTCAGGCATGGGATATTTAGAGTGCACTTCTTGCTTGTTTTTTCCTTTCGCTTGGGGCTCAGCATTTTTTTTTCTGCGAAAGAAGTGTTGAGTCCCAAGCGGGGTGGTTGCTGATGACGCTCGAGTCGGCTCACTAAGGCAGAGGTTGAAGACCACTGCTGGACGAAGGCGCAAAATCTAGGGGCGCGAACCCAGTCTTCATTAAGGCAAATGTGTCGCAGGTTACAACGGTGTAGCTAAAGCCCCCCCCCCCCCCGAGAATGGGTCAGTTTTTGAAAATCACTTATATGGGTTATAAAATTGTGCAAGTGACTTGTTTATACTCTTGAGTAGTTAAAATAAGGGCGCTATTCCACTTAATACAACGCAGAAATCGAAAATCATGGATTTCGCTGAAACCGCCTAGGGGTTATTCGACCTGCTGATCACGAAAATGATATTCATTTTGCATGGTGGGGCCTTTCGAGGGGTTACGGTGGGTATACGGTATCGGGTCAAAATCTCAGAATTTTCTAAAACTTTGCGTAGGGGGTTATTCGACATGCTGATCACGAATATCATATTGATTTCCTACCGCCATGCGGTAGGGTTACGGTAGAATTACGGTAGGGGTCAGAGTCCCAAAAGCTGAAACCTTGCTAGGAGGATTATTCGACCTGCTGATCACAAAATGATATTCATTTCGCATGGTGGGGCCATTTTCAAGGGGTTACGGTGGGTATACGGTATCGGGTCATAACCTCAGAATTCTCTAAAACTTTGCCTAGGGGGGGGGGTTATTCGACATTTTGATCACGAATATCATATTGATTTCCCTCGATAACGCCATAGTTAGAGTTACGGTAGGATTATGGTACGGGGGTCAGGGTCTCCAATGGCCAAATCATGCAATGGGAAACGGTCTTTTCGCACGGGCGGTCTTCAGCCGCTCCCTGATTTTAAATTGTCACACGTTCACGCACGCCGTGAATCTTTCCTCCTCCTGTTTTGCTTAGGCAAGCCGCCGCAGAGTGGTCGCACGCGGCGCTGCTGTGTGGAAAGCTTTATGTTCTTGCGAAACGCTTTACCTGCAAAAATACCATCATTTTCGTGGTCAGAATGTGAATACCCCCCCCCCCCCCTTAGGCTTAAGGCATACCTTGCGCGATTCGGCCGAATCGCCACTTTCACGCGACTTGGCGATTTGCCAGATTTCTGTAAATTTATCATGTGCACTTCTCGGACGCCTATTTGGGTAGCTTGTTTAAGTTGTTGCAAACAAAGCAAGTTCTGACCAAAGGCAGTGCATTAACGACGAATTACGAAGAGTCGCTGTTGTGCCTAATCGCGCAGCCGTGAGGTATGCCTTAGGCCCTACGCAAAGTTTTAGCGAATTCTGAGGTTTTGACCTGATACCGTATACCACCGTAACCCCTCGAAAATGCCCACCATGCAAAATGAATATCATTTTCATGATCAGCAGTTCGAATAACCCCCCTAGGCGAAGGTTCAACGAAATCCGTGCTTTTAATTTGCATTGTATCATTAGGGTGAACGGTAAAAATGGGACACCTTGAGAACAATTGGAGATTTCTCAAGGAAGAGTTGTGATTGAACTTTCTAATTTTGATGGATATTATAATAAATTATTTTCTTTCGATAGTACCTAAGGTCATTTACACACCTAGTAACTTTTATACTTGCTGAAGTGCAAAGTTAGTCACTTCGACAAATCATGAACTTCGAGCAGTTTCTGCGCTGTCAAACATGTGAGACCACCCAAAGTACCACTGCTGGAGTTCTAAAATTGAATAGAAAGCTCACACATTCAACATATCGTTCGAAAGACCATGAAGAGCTCCTTCGAATGGTATGTCATTTACTTTACACTTTACGGAATAGCAGCGCAAGATTGGGAAATGTTCAAAAAACCCTGTCTGAGTTCTTCGCGGCGCCACGCGTAGGGTAGTGGAAGAGGAGCGTTAACGCGTTGTCAGAATAATAGGTGAGGGTCGCCCATGTAAGCGACATTTAAGTTGCAGCCTGCTTGCTGTTGCTCGAAACAAAAAATTCCAAAATGTAATTAAAATCGAGCTGTCCCATTTTTTACCGTTCACCCTAATAAGTGGACTAGCACCAATATAAGTTTTTTTTATCTAGATTTATAATAAGAAAATTTTCCGGGGCCGTGGCTGACGCCACGCTCACTCTTTCTAAAATTTCGGGGCTTTGGGCCCGAAAATTTTTTAGGAAACATACCAGAAATTTTTTCGGAGTGCGTGGCTGATGCCACGCACCTTCATTAGAGAAAATTTTTTGTCCCCCCCTCCCCGATGAATGTCACCGTCGACACGGTTCACGTGCTCGCGAGCTGCCTTGCGTGGGTCTCTCATGTGGTACAATACCGCATCCGATAAAGCCTTCGCGGTATCGAATACGATATGTACCACGTTAGAGACCTGAGCGAGGCGGCTCGCGAGCACCTAAACCACGCCGACCATAGCACTCAGATTGAAAGCCCCTGTACGCGCTCGCCGTGCCAGTCTTTGGCGACTTCTTCCGGCAGTAGAATCTGTGTGCACATAGCATTCAAATTTTCGCACATTGCTGCACAGTGCCAACAATTTTTTTTTTCAGCACAGCTTTTTTGATCGTTTTCCGAAACGTTTTGTGATGTCGGAACCTAGCCAGCTTCCGGAGTGCTTAGATACCTGTAGATTCAAATACATTGAGGAGACATTCTTCTATATGATAAGTTTTTCAATTCAAGAAATTTTCTATGAAGCAAATTTTCGCATCAGTGCTCAATTAATCAAAAATATCTGTTCCAGGTCTCACTTGATACCGCTACACTCCGACCCATAATCAGGAGGCTGCGGAGAAAATACGCGCGGCTTTTTGCGATGATCTTTTATGGCGTCAATTTCAACTGTGAATCAAAATTGTTGTTCAGCCTTTTGAATGCTGGGCATGTCGCTCATCTGGTCATGATTGAATGTCAGCTTCCTGAAGGTTTCGTGGATTCCTTGATGGAAATGTTCAGGTGGCGCTGTCGCCTCTATGGGTTTGTAAGTGATTTAGGCCCGTATGCACGTACGTCCCCGCTGGGGAGGGGAGGGGAGCTGGATCCCCAGGGGAACGATCCCCTCCGCCGAACCCCGCCATGACAGAGGGGAGGGGAGCGATCCCCTCCCCTGCACCTAAGCGGGGATGGTGTGAATGGTTTCAGAGGTATTGATCGAGCGAACCCCAGTGCATACGGGGTTCGAATGGGGGAGGGGATCCCTTCCCTTCCCCCACTCGAACCCCGTATGCGCGAATTCAATTCAATAACGCGGGGAAGGGGATCGGTATCCCCTGCAACGAAGTAGGGGTTCGATGGTGTAGATCATGCCAGAGACGCGGATATTCTGGTTCTGCTCAGTCATTACCAAGTATGTCGTTCATTTTGATAGAGGATTTTCTTTGAAAGCCGGGTTCTTCTCTCAGCGACCTGTGGCTTGCAATTTGTCTTTCTTTTCTATATTCGCCTCTTAAGAAGAAATCCGAGCAACAATAGCTGCCATTTTCGATTATTTGTAGGAGTTCTTGATCATTCAGAAAATTTGCGCATTTTTCATATAACATAATAGTTTTAACTATATAGGCTGAGTAAACACATTGTAACTTTCATATTTCATGACATTTTGCCACTATCTTGTTATTTTAACATAAGCTGCCTCAAAAAAATCTAGAAAGTAGCATATTTGCCTATTTCTGAGTAGAAATCCCCTGGGGAGTGATCCCCTCCCCAGCGTTCCCCTTGTGCATAGCAGGGATCGCTGTTGGGGATCATTCCCCTGGGACAAAGGACGATATGCAGCTGATAGCTACAGCGTTTATGGAGAGCTGGCACAATTTGCAGCTTCTGTTGTGTGTTAGAATACTGCTTTGAGCGTCCGCGCGGCACCCCCCCCCCTTTCGGCGGCATAACTTCTACCCATTCCCTTGCAGAGACACATCAACTTCTATAGTTCAACATTTTTACGCTGAAATGGAGCAGCATGAGCGAAAGTGGGCAGCATCCAAGAAAGCAGGAACATAATGGGAGTACAAAAAATCATTTTTAGTGCCCCGAGCCCAGTCACTGCATACGCGCATTCCGCAACCCTAAATTAATGAAAGTGAGGAGATGAAGATGAGTTGCAGCCAAAATATGAAATAAGAAAGTGTTTTTCATAGAAAATTTGAAAGCAAGGTGATTTCCCCGCTTGATCCCCTCTTGTGCATAAGAGGGTTCACTTCCACTCCCCACAGGGGATCCCTTGTCCGATATTGTCTTTGTGCATACGGGGGTTCGCGCGGGGAGGGGAGGGGATCCCCAGCGGGGATCATTTCAATGGTTAAGCGCACATCCCCTCCCCGCGGGGATGTACGTGCATACGGGCCTTAGTACAGTTCGCTAATTGATGGTTAACGTGGTGCCTCTGCAATGCTGGTTATTATCTAAGCGAAAAAATGTCATGCTTGTCTGCCCGCAGCGCGCTTGAGACGAATTCAAATTGCAGTGTTCGGTCGCCACACATGAGATCCGGTAAGCGGCAAACGTTGAGGGGCTCGTTAGCAGTAGAGCGTGCCAGCCCCTCAGCCGCAACTGGCAGTCAACAGTTTTATGCCAATTTTCCTTTTTTGATGATGTAATTTTTAAACACGATATCATGGAAGCACTTTAGCCATGAGTGTGTGTACCTAATCTAGTTCTTTCTATTCCATCATTTTTCTGTATATTGACTGGTCTGATCTGATCTAATCATAATATAGCGCGTAGACTTTTTGTCACCAAACCAGTGCCCTTCAATTATCCGAACCCTGTGTCATCAGCGACCCAGTGTTTTGTGCGAATCAACTGGTTCCAATCCCGCTTGGTGGCTTTTCTGTTGTTACGGGACTCAGTGTGTTAAACTACTGGCTCAACCCACAGGGTTCGTGAATAGCGGTCTCGTCGGTCATTTCTTCCATGATCCTTAATGAATACCGCTAAGAAGACCGCAGAGCAACTAAGCAAGGGTTGGGGGCTAGATCAACTGCGCTTTGAAGTCGGTGCTATCCAAAGCATAGTATCTGAACTGCGCGCTTGGTGATGGTCAACTTCAACCAAGTAATCGTTATTCTAACTACTCGCGACATGCGCAACATTCCTTAGACTGATTGTGAGAGTTTTCTCCAGCTATCTTGGCTGCTAAAGGATGCAAGCGGACAATGTTCCAATTTTATCATAATCTCTTTCCTCGTCAGTCACTCGACCTGCTGCTTTCGCACTTCTCTTCTCAGCATTTTTTTATCCATGCATCTTCCCGGTTACTCGGAGTCTGCCACTCTTGTATTTCTCTTCCATAGTTCGCGGTCTAAGGCTTGCTCTTCTTCGATCTTTGGTTCTTTTAGATCCGCTGTGATCTTATCCGACCATCTCAGCTTTGGCCTTCCTCTTGGCGTCTTTCCTGGTACTTCTTCTGCTGTGGCTGATCTGGAGATATGGCTTTCTTCCCTTCTTTGCACGTGACCGTACCATCGAAGTCTTCTCTCCTGCATCTTCTTAGCTACTGGGGCGACCTTCATCGTTGCGCGTATGGTATCGTTGGTAACGTGGTCGATTATGGTGACGCCTGCCGTCCATCGTAGCATGCGTGTCTCCATCACACTGACTTTACGTTCGTCGCTTCGCGTACACGGCCAACATTCGCTGCCATATAGAGCTGTCGGGCGGATCACACTACGGTACAACTGGGGCATCCGCTTATCGCACATGACTCCTGTGAGGCTTTTCCACTTCAACCAAGCTGCGTTTATCCTGGCAGCTATCTCTTCTTGGATCGTACCATCTGCGCAGATGCGGCTTCCTAGGTACTTGAAGGTAGTAGTCTTCTTGATTGGAGCGTCTTCAATCTGTATGGTTCCAGGCGTTTGAGCTCCTAGCTCCACGTACTCGGTCTTCGCGACATTGACCTTCAGGCCGTGCAGCTCGAGTTCAGATTTCCACTTCTGCACATCGGCCTCCAATTCATCCCTGCTTCTCGCCATCAGAATCACGTCATCTGCATACATCACGGCCCATGGAGGTTGACGTATGAAGTTTCTGACTATCGTGTCTACAACTGTGATGAAGAGGAGAGGTGACAGCACGTATCCTTGATGAACGCCGGCTTTTATCTGGAAGTCTTCTGATTCTTTTGCTGCTGTTTGTACGTGGCTGGTCGCATCTCTGTAGATCATCTTTATCCACTGCACGTATTCTTCTGGAACCATGTGCTTCCGCAGCGGCCACCATATGATGTTATGCGGTACTTTATCGAACGGTTTCTCCAGGTCGAGGAATGCTGCATGTACTCACACTGCTTTTCTCGGCTTCTTTCCATCATTATTCTGACGGTATGGATGGCGTCGGTTGTACTGCATCCCTTGACGAATCCGCACTGATTGGATGCCGCTCCACAATTCTTCGAAGTCGTGTTTCTTTTATTCTTTCGAAGATCTTCAGTGTATGGCTCATGAGTCGGATGGGACGGTAAGTAGTGCAGTCAGCTATGTCTCCTCGATTCTTCCATATCGGTATTGTTGTACTTCTATACCAGTCGCGTGGCATCGTCTTCTGTTCTACTATCTGGTTTAGAAGTCGTGCTAGCCACGAGACTCCGGCCTGTCCACACTCCTTCCAGAACTCGTTGGAGACGTCATCTGGAGCCGTCGCCTTGCCGTTCTTGGTCTTCATTATGGCGATGCGGATTTCCTCTTCCGTGATTGCTGGTACCGGTCCATGTACAAGGTCGGCTGCAGTCGTCGACGACGCGTATTCGTGGCTCGTGGATGCTGCGAAGTGTGTTCTCCATCTCTCGTTTATCTCTTGTGGCGTTCTCAGCACTTTTCCCTGCTTGTCTTTGATTTTGTAGAAGTGCTCCATGTCTTTTGAAGCGTTTGTTCTTCTTCTTGCGATCCGATAGATCTCCCGCTCTCCTTCACGAGTATGAAGTCTTCTGTACAGCTCCGCCACATACTTCTTTAGCTTCTTTAACTTTCTTTCTTTGCTTCACTCTTCGCTGCTAGGTAATTCTGATGATCGTCTTCTAATCTTGTTTTTTGCCACAGCTTGTACGCTAACTTCTTCCTCTTGATCACGGATTGGACGGTCTCGTTCCACCACCAAGTTTCCTTATCTAGTCTTGGCTTTCCTGGTTTTGTACATCCTAGTAGATTCCCTGCCATCAGATGAACGTTGTTCTTCAATTTCGCCCAGGATCGCTCCGATTCATCTTCCAGTTTTGGTAGAGCTGACTCCATAGCTGCTTTCGCTTGAACGTTGTCTTTGAGCTTCCACCACTTTATGCGAATTCTGTGCTCCACTGTTGGCTTTCTTCGACTCTTGACTGGGATATTCAGATCCAGAGTCAGCGGCCGGTGTTGTGGTACGCATTCTTCACTGGGGATGACTTTGCTGTTCTTTACGTATTTGAGCTCTCTTTGCCGTACAACCCAGAAGTCTATTTGCGATTTCCGCTCTCCGCTGGCATACGTGACGAGATGGTTGTCCTTCTTGATGAAGTATGTGTTTGCCAACGCTAATTCATGGGCAGTAGCGAACTCCAGAATGCGCTCCCCTTCGTCGTTGCGAATCCCATATCCGTGATTGCCGTGACATTTACTTGCCCCACTTCGTTGTTCTCCTACGTGGCCGTTTAGATCTGCTCCAATTAGCAACGTCTCTTCTGAAGGTACCGATCTGACTAGTCGTCGAGTTCTTGCCAGAATCCGTCTTTCTCCTCATCAGTGCAACCTGCTTGAGGTGCCTAGGCAGTGACTACTCGCAGAATCTTCATTCCAACAGCTAGCTTGATGCTCATGAGTCGGTCGCTTACTCGATCCACGCCTGTGATCCCATCTCTCAACCTTTCTGAGACGACTATTCCGACACCGTTTCTGCTGTTACTTGCTCCTTTATACAGAAGCTTGAAGCCATCTCCTAGATCGCGCGACTTTCCACCTTTCCATCTGGTCTCCTAGATGCAGGCGACGTCCAGTCTACGTCTTCTGAGAAGATCCGCAAGCTCTCGATGTCTCCCTGTGAGGGATCCTACGTTGATGGTAAGAGTCGAAGCGTATCTGATAACTTGTTTCGTCGTTTGTACTCGTGATGATGATGAACTAGCTTCTTTGGCCGTCCCCGCTCATCTTGTTGGGACGGTAACCCTCGCTTACTGTTCGCATTTGTCGGGCTCAAATGCGCGTCGCCTTCGAGGGACGCCCTAGCTTGTAATCGAAATTCTTGATGAGACATTAAAAGAGCATTTTGATGCGACGGGTTTCTTCTTCAGCCGGCTTGTCACTTGCTTCCATTGGGTGAGCAGCCTGACGCTGGATTTCGTGGACAGAGCTTTGCCAAAGAAGTTAGGCCCGCTGTGGGACCGAACCTGTGACCTTCCTCGCCGTAGTCAAGGGCACTAACCTCTCGGCCAACTCTGCCCCTTCTCTTCTCAGCATTAGAGGTTGAATATATATTTTAAGGGGAGGCTCTTTTGTGTTTACAAGTTGATTTCGTAGAATGCCCAAAAATGGGGATCTAGGTCAGAGGGCAAGTGGAACCGCAAGTGAAAGCTATTAATGTAGCCACCCACCTTGTACATGACATAAGTGTTAGCATTGGTCGGTAAACGCCAAAAACATTGTCCCTCGACGAAAACAGGCAATGCGCCACTTATGGCTGGGGGCTGCGCTGGCGCGCTACACGGCTAACGAGCCCTTCAACGTGGTAGGGGACTATATGTCGCCGAAAAAGGGCGGTCCCCGCGGTCATTTGCGGCAATTACGCGCCCTTGTATATGCGCGGACATGCGTTCCTGCAGGAAATCCATGCGGGACTCTTCCAGATTCGGCGACATATAGTCTTCCACCCCTTCAACGTTTGCCGCTTACCGGATCTCGCCGCACAGCTGCCTCTGCGGGGCGCCATTATTCGGGGAATGTCCGGAAGGCGACAAATGACCTAGAACAGGTCGAACTAGTGGCCACGCCCTGTCCGAGTTCCCCGTCTTTAGATTCTTCGAGGATTTGAATTGGTGCGTCTTTGCACACGTTGGGCACGGCTCTCAATTCTCTGACTTCCTCGTTTCCTATAGTCGTCCTCACCCCACTAGTCGGTCGGTGGAGGAATTCAAATTTGAGTTGGAGGAGGCCTGTCGCGGCAGAGCGGGGCATCTGAACCTCCCCCCCCCCCCTCGTATGATTTTGCGTGTTTCTTTATCGTCTTTATTGGTCGTTACTTTATAGTCTTTGTACTTTAAGTATATCTGTAGAAAGTGACAATTTTGTTATTGTCGGAAGTTGTTTCGTGTTGCTAAGCTCTTTTCTTCAATTCTGATTGCAGGTAAGCCTGGAGAAAAGATACAGATGGTGAACTTATGCTGTAAACCCTTTCTTAGTAAGTAACATATGCAGAAGTGTTGCTCCAGTGGACTATATGATCCAAATTTGCCATCTGCATCGCTTCCAAAAGCTCACTGAAACAAAATACGAGCATAGCGGCAGGAGACAACGCTCAGCAATTACAAAAACTCATAGGCCAAAAATTTTGTAACAATACAAAAACTTTTAAGCTGGCGAAGAAAAACGCAAAGTGAATGCTGAATTTGAACGGAGAGCTAAGGTGCCATGTTCTGCCGCGACCTGCCTGCTCCAGTTCAAGTTCGAATTCGTCCGCTGACCGACTAGTGGAGTGAGGACGACTACACATGTTGCGCTTTTCTGGCTGGCGCTTTATGGCTAACTCCTTAGTAGAGCCACGTGGGGGGGGGGTAACATGCGCTGAGGCGGCCGCGCGGCGCCGATTGACCGAAGCTGTGCGTTTCCAACTTCCTCGCTCGAGACTTTCTCGGAATATATGGCCTTGAGCGCACATCTTTAGTTTATGCGTAAATGTTGGTAGGGTAGAGGACCATATGTCGCCGAAAGGGGAAGTCCCTTGCCGGAAATTTGCAACGATTACGCTTACACACAGGGGGTGCGTATCTCTTGCAGATGTTGTTGCAAATGTCCGCGAGTGACCTTGCCTTTCGGCGACATATAGTTCTCTACCTTTCTCGATGGGCACTACGGGAAAGGGGTGCGTCCCATTACTTGTGGGATTTAATTATCAGACGCCGCCCGCGGCAGACTGGTACTACCGTGGTTGCACATCTATGCAGAGAATTCGGCCAGCAGAACTCGAAACGCTTAGTGCCGCATTGTTTTTCAATGTTTTTCGGTCTCCATGTTGTTTTCACCACTTTTATGAAGTTCGGGCCACAGAACTTGTGAAAGTAGAACTTCAAAAAGTTGAAAACAACGCATACTACCAAGCAGTCATCATTTAAGAGTTTCTCTATAACATGTATAGCAGATTAGAACTATAATGCACTTCGGAGAATTTGCAGTGATCAAAAGATCAATGGTAGTAAAGATTATCACTAAAATATCTCGAAGTTTTCAATTAGAACTTTGTTCATTGGTAACTACTCATAGCACTTTCCCTCGAGTTCCTCGATTAGAAGCCGTCACTCTAGGAATGTGGTTGTTTCACGCGGACTACTGTATGACCGCGTCGCGGCAATTTCTAATTTAAACCCACAAGTAATGAGCGCCTTCCACAGAAAAGCACTGTACTAACCGTTAGAGTTATCGGAGGCGTGCTTTTTTGGGGCTAAACCCGGACGGCGGATGCTAGCATGAGGCAAGGCTGGGCTCACACTTTCCCGGAAGTTCCGGAACAGTTCCAGCACGCTTTTTTTGAGTCAAAATTTTGTTTTTTCAGTTGCGGGAATATTTCGTTGGATCTGCAGACAGTTTCGAAGTGTACTTCAGGACGTTTGACTTTGCCTTTTCAAGGATCAAGGTTGATATAATGGTTACTTTAAGAGTTCTTGAAAGAAGTCTAGCTTGAAAAGGTGCTGCAAATTCGGCAGCTACGACTGGTCAATGAAGGCGCCATCTACAGTCTTTTTCAACCCGGAGTAGGCGAAACATTTAGTATGGAGCAGCGCATCCGCACCGCCACTGGCTCAGGCGAGATGGATTAGAATGAAGACGCGGACTGCAAAACTTACTATAGTAAGTTCCGACTCAGTTGGTGGAGATAGGACTGGCGGGAGTCCGCTTCGCAACGATTCGCGACGTTTTGCAGTCTGCTTCTCATTCTGATCTATCTCGCTGAGCCCGTAGCGATGCGGACGCACTGCTCCACTAGGAATGTTCGCCTACTCCGGGTCGAAAAAGACTGTATAAACCTGCCTAACGGCTGGGCGAGCGATCGCGCGCGCCATCACTGCGTGTCGGACCTGGGCTCGCCTGCTGTCAGCATTGATTCCTCAAACAGACGTTAGGATGAGAGGTTTTTGCTTCATTACATTGTCACTGCATTTGATAGCTTTGCTGGTACTGGGACGAGTGCTTTCTTTAGGTAGTGATGGGTGAGAGGGCCTTAAAACGGCTGGATACCAATTGTTTACGATATGTGACCTTTTTCTCCTTTTAAAAATCAAAACTCTGTTCTAAATAGGAGGGCAGCGCATTCGTAATTGTTTTTATCGTGTGTACCACTAATTCAGGCAAATAGCCGCTATTTTTTTTTAAAGATAACTCCTTAAAGTTCTGGACCATAAGCCCTGCGAGATAACTCTTTGTGGGGTAGAAACTTTTTTGTACTTCAGGTTGTATCAGGAGATTGTTTACTTGCATGATGAAAATGATAAAAGGTATTATCAACTCTCTATTTATCCCTATACTTTCCAATGCACTTTGGCCTTCATAGGCCCAAAACCTGAGATATTGTACTAACTGGACTTGAATGGTTGACTATTTGGCTTAGAAAAGGCAAATGTTAGAAAATGCGCAGTGTTTTCGAGTCTTCTAGTTTCAGAATAATCACGTTTCTTCGTCCTCAATGTGATTTTCTTAGATAAAAGGAAAACGCATATTATCCCCCGACGTCGGTATTGCTCTGCACAGTGAAAGATTGGTTTCACTGGTCAATGAAAGCCACAATGTTTTGAATGAGGAACTCATCAAAGGTGTGGGAAACGTACCAATTTCAATAGCCATAAGTTTTCCAAGAGAGCTGCCTTGAAGAGAGAAAGTTCTTTATTAGCAGAAGTGCTATTTCGAGGTTCTTTGAAAAACACTAAGATGCATGCAGTGGCGTGTGCCGAGAAGATGAGGGGGAGGGGGAGGGGGGTTCCCCGAAAATGGGTCGCGAAAGTTTTGAAAGTTACTTTTATGGGTTATAAAAATGTGCAAGCGACTTGTTTATACTTATAAATAATTGATTTGATTTTTGAAGGTTTTTGAAAACTCAGTTTATCCTTGTAAAATAATTTTTGGGATCTGGCTGCTGCCACGCTCTCTTTTTCTGAGATTCGGGTTGTGGGCCCGCAAAAATTTCAGGAAGCATACCAAAAAAATTTTCAGAGTGCATGGCTAACGCCACCTTCATCACAAAAAATTTCTGTCCTCCAGCCCCCCCCCACCGAACGGAAATCCTTTGTGCGGTACCGCCACTGGATGTATGTAGATCTAGTGACAAACGGAAATTGTCGCAATATCGTATAGCTATTTATACACTTTGTGTGAGAACTTTTGACTATGCTGGACCTGATATCAAAACGTTTCAATTGAAAAAACGATTTTGGGGAATGTAAAAGTATAGGTATACCTTACTGGTACTCGCAGCACTTCTATTACTGAAAGACATTCAAGCACATGAGCTCAATCGTACTTACAAAGGAAGCGTTTCTAGCGGAAGTGGTGTTTTCAAATGAGACCCGTGCCACTTTGGTGAGCATTCATGATGGCTCAAAATCGGCCTTACCTGCCAAGCGCCTCTGGACGCCGAGTTATGACTGTTTTTTTTTGGAACGGAAAGAATGCAGAATTCAAGTAAAATGATGTGCAATGTTTCCAGCGCTCAGAAAAAGCAGTATTCAGTATTAGCATATTCGAGAAATTGTATTCATTGCATGAACTGCTCTGACTGAACATATTTGAGCAAATTTGGGCGATTTTGTTCCATTGCGTTCAATTTTCTGACCTGTAAAGAGGCGCCTGGCAGATATGGAAGGCTGTTTTGGAATCATTGTGCCATTCTCTCCAAAGCAGTATGGTCTCATCTGGAAAGTCCATATCGACTAAACACGCTTCCCTTGTTAGCAGCGAACACCTGTCGCACCGACACGAAAACCACTCATACGTCGCAACAGCTATTTAGGGAGTTAATGCTACAGCAAGCGAGCCCTAGGTCCCTGCGCGCAGTGATGGCGCGCACGCGACCGCCCGCGCAGCCGTTACGTAATTTAGATGGCGCCGTCAATGAGTGACTTCTGCTTTATAACAACTTGAACTCTTACGTTCGTTACGGTGTTCTAAGCAGACTTTTTTTAGAACATAAATCTAGGTTCTGCTAAAGACTCATTTCAACAGCGATTTTACAGTGGGCACACTCAGTCGTGACAGAAACCCTCGGTCCTGCTCGAGTCACATCTTCTGGTGAATTTTCAGCTAAACAGTACCGTGTCCATCGCAACGCTGATTACGTGCGTGACATCTCGGTAATATGTACAAAAACGAGGGACCTCGTGCCGTACCCGTACGACATAAATATCTTCCAAGTCTCCGGTGGTAGCTTGTATACTGAATCTGTTGGTGTATATCGGTAATTTTTGGGTAGAGGAGATTAGATCCCGAAAGAGCCTGCGCGGACATCTGCAACAAATGCGCACTTCTCTTCGTCACAGCTCTGGTAGCAGTGTCCGCGGCGGTGGAGCATATCGGCGATCTCTTCTCTCTACCCATTTTCTCGTCATCCGATCACTCTATTATTTTTTTGTCGTAAACCCCATGGACCCCGTTCTGCCCCCCCCCCCCACCCCCTCCGCCCCCCTCCCCCCTCGGCACGCCACTGGATTCAACCTATTTCCGTGCTTATGAGGAGAACTTTTTTTGCTATTTTTAGGCTAGCATAAGTCTTGTTGTACATTTCCCTTTTCGAAAAAAACCTAAAAAGCAATCTCATTTTTGATCATAACGAAAAAACTTCCTTTTTGATGGATATCCGGGAGCATCAGTGCTAAGAAGACAGCTTAGAGCTTAAGTCTCTCAAATTCAAGTTAGAGGTTTGTCAGAAAATCGATAACTTTTTGAAGACTCAAAAATACATGTGCATTATAAATGCTAAAGGTTTCCACGTAATGAACAAGAGGAAAACATGTAAGAAATTATGAAGATTTTTCCAAAATGTAACAAAGCTTATGTTTGAACTGATACATTGATCTGTAAGTGCTTGGAATTTACTTTTGTAAAACGTGTATGCTGGCTCCAGACAGATGTCCATTAGTGTGAGACAATGATTCTTCCGTTTTTGGCTGACATATCTTTTTGTGAACTAATGATATGGATTTTATATTGTAATTGATTTGGTTGTATTTGATTGAGTAGAGGATCTATAGGAAAGGCAAATTATGAGGTTTCCCGAGAAAGTAGTATAGTAGGTGAAAAGGGGATACATATTTATTTTGATTGAACATTTTGAGTTGAAGAAGGTCAGGCAAAAGAAGAAGACAGCTTATCAGTGTAGTGCCCCTCCCGCCGCATACTTTCTCCAATCTCGCATGTTTCGCCTTCCTTTTGTGAGAAAATTCAGCAGCTTTTGAATCTTGAAGTTTCACTTGCATGTGTTTCTAACTATTTTTATATGGATGACCAATTTTTGCAGAGTCAATCGAATTAGGTTTATCTCAGATTTGTTTATGCTTGTCCTCCATGTCATTAAGGCTTCTGGCGGTGTCACATAAAGGCCGTATTGCAAAAAAAAAAACTCAGTATCTATTCGAGAAGCTATTTGTCTTGTAAATGAATAGGATGGAGCTGTAACCCTTTAGTCTTAGCTTAGCGGACGCAGGTGCTATACCCGGTTTAAGCAGTTCATCCCGCTCACCCCATTCGCTGTTGGTCAGCACATATCGAACTGACCAATACCTAGTGGGTCACCCGGACGGACCAATTAAACTGAATAAGCCTGGCGCCTAGGTATAGAAACGCCAGCAGTCTTAATGTTCCTATTGTTGTAGATCAACTTTGATGCCTCACTGAAGCCATTCAGTTATTTCCGCTATACGTCAACGTATTGTTCCTCATGACCTTCATATATTTCGTTTTGTAATGTGTAGTTTGCTGGATTATAAATTTGAAATTTGACAATGTTTCATGATTTTTTAGACATTAGAGAATACTAGCATTTTGCAAGGCACTGCTCAGACAATCGCAAAGAATTTTCGGGGTAAACTGAGCAACTAAAACTTCCGGAGAGGACGCTCCTATTGGTCTGTCCGCGTGGGCCGTGTAGCGTGGGTCCCGCCCTGCCTGGCAGCTCCGATAGGAGTGTTCTTCCGGAAATTCTAGAAGCTATGTTTGCTCCGGAAGTTCTTTTGCTGTTGCTGAGTGCCTCTACACCTGTTCAACAGGTACACAACGCCTTACATAAATGGATACAATGGCAAACTCGGTCCCTTGCTGTTTTCTTTTGGGGTTTAGACAGTACAGAGATAGTCTCCACCAAATCTATGCGTACCGCTCAAGTCCAGGAGTTTTTTAAGGGAAGCAACGAAAGTGAGTTGGCTTGAGCCACGTCTTCCTGAGAAAAACTTTTTTTGATGTTTTTCTAATTTTTGGTGGGCTTTCACCTTCAAGCCACGGACCGAGAAAAACAAGAATAATTCGAATTTCTAGATGTTCTCATTATTATTTTACATCTTCACTAGTGTAAACAAGTCACTTCCGCAATTAAATAGTCTATACATTTGGGCGAGTTCCAAAAACGCGACAGCTCGCCTGAAATACAATCAGGTTCTCGTCTGGATGTGTAGGAGTAGTCAACTCTTCCTAAGCAGTACAAAGCGAGAAAAACGGAATATAAGAACTTCGAGCAAACACACCTTTGGATCAAGAAAAAATGCTAATTCCAAATTGGTCCTTTGGTTGATGCGATCAGCCGAGATACAGCAATGTGGCACTTTTGTCACGGCATTGCATGAATTGCCGACGGCTGCGAAAAGAAACGGAAAAACGCCCTTTGAGACTTCCAAGAAGTTTTAGGGTTGAGCGAGCGCTGATCAAAATGTTCACACAAGAACTCAAATCGAAAATGAAGAACATTTAATGCGGCAACTTCCGACATGACAATGTATGCATGTACGCACAGATAAGCGAGTATCCAAACGTCGAAGAATTCAAACGTGAAGATGATAGAAGCAAACGGAAGTTTGCGACTGGTTAGTCCCAGGGTAAAGTTGAAAATTCGAAGTTGGAACTGGGGAGTTTCCAGCCATTTCTGATCCAGTTTGATAGAAAATGTAGGTGTCGGTCAGTTAATCAGACACCATTATTCTGTATATGCAGAGGACACTATAGCTCAGTTTTTTTTTTCTCATTCTTTTTACCTCTAAATTACTTTTCACTGTAGTAGCACATCCTACAATAAATATGACCGATATGAAGTAAGGGGCGGAGCGTGACCTCTGTCACGAAAGTGCTAAAACCCTCCTGAGTGCGAAGATTGGTGCTAAAGGAACTCTTGCGTGCCCTCTATGCGGCCTGAATGTTACATACAAATTGCTCTATATATTTGATACAGTGCTCTTACCATGTTCTGCGAATTTTTTGAAATTAAATCTCTCCTATTAGCCACGCTTATGTTGGATCGTAACCGAATCTTTTTTCACTACGTGAATCCTCTCGTGAAGTTAGATACATGAAGCAAGCTCTTAGTTTCTTCCGCACTTCCTTGCTTATAAATATTTTCGGATGGATTGTATGCAAGATTTGCAATCCGCATTTTCAACAAAATGTCTCGCAAATCAGAAGTTGTAGCCTATGTACCGCCTCCGCAGATAATCTTTCGCTCTTGCATATCGTGTGAGTATCAGTAATCCAGAGGTGGCGTTAATGCGGCAGATCATTCAGCAAAAGACGTCTGCAGCTGCAGTACGTTTTCGAAATATCTCATTCATATAAGGCACGTCAGTGCGGCTTATGTCAGCTTGAGCGTCCCCACACATCACTAAATCTTTTGAAGAGATAGCTCTCTCTGGAATGGCTACCTCGTCAGTTTTATAGTATCGTCCCTTTCCCAGTTGCTGGCCTTTATCTGCGTCTCTGACCAGCGCCACGCATACTTGAGTTGGCAACATGAAACAACATGTTTGCAACATGCAACAACATGTTGCCAACATGATGTTGGCAACCTTTTTGGTCTCTAGCCTTGATGTCAGCATATTGCCGCATGTTGCCAGCATGTTAGCCACGCTTGTCGCATGTCAGGGACGCAGACCAAGTGTAGCAGCAACTGTGGAAGGGACAATATCAAAGTTGCGATGTCTTCTTGCACCTTTTTTTCATTCAAGAGGAACTGCAAGCACATTTCATAGTAGATGTTGAAAACTCAGTCTATGAAATGTCACATGGAAGTTGGTGGTTCTGTGGTCACGTTTCGGACCGAGGAATCGCGCGGCGAAACAGACTGTACTTCCAGCCGTTCACCAACAAAGGAACCTTAGTTCGTAGACTGCGTGCTACGTTTGTAATCAGCATGTCAAATAAGTCAGTTTCCTACCCAAAGTCCTGTGTAAATGCGGAGTGTTTGAATTTTGCTGCTTGAGAATGACTTTTGTGTTCTTTTGAAAGATAGGAACAAGAACTCAATTTCTAATAGTATCCATAAGTATCTGTGTTGCACACGGTACAAGCATTATTGGAACTACAGTTTTTCTTTTTGGAATTGAAGCAAAGAAAAGTTACGATGTCGCACGCGTCGTTCGCGTTGCCGCACTTTGTTGCAACTGTCGTTCGATTAGTCCTCATATCTCCTAAGACCAATGGTAGCCTCGTGCCTGTGAGTAAAATCTTAACCACCACCTCACAAAATTGCCTGCTACAGATGGGCAGGCAAGCATTGTCTTGCAAAGAAGGGATGCGTCATGGTGTAGTTTTCGCAATTCGTAATGACAATGTCCTTCGAAGCCATTTTCTCACTAAAACCTTCAGTCATTTACACTTATGTAGAGTGTTTATCGTCCATTTTACAGTTAATGCCACCCCTGATGTGTCTCTGACCTGCGGCACGCGTAACCAGTATTTTGGCAACGTACAGCAATATGTTCGCGCTGAGGCTGACAGCTAAATGTTCTGCTCAGGGCCCGGCACGAGGTGGGCAAACGGGGTTTTCCAAAACGAATTCCTTTTTGATCCCAATAAATTTTACGAATACCCCCTTGAGCCCAAAAATGACGTTTCGTGCTTGTGCGACGAGATTACCGGCCACACTTCGCCTAAAAGCGCTCAAAAGCGCCCAAATTGCTCAAATTCCTCAAATTACTCCTCAGCTGTATCAAGATAGGAAACAGGAGGAAAAATAAGCAAGAAAAATGATTAAGGAATGAGAAAATATCAAAGAAACGCAGTCATAGGAATGAGAGACGCCGTTCCCGCGCGTATCGATTGACTAGGGCGCGCTTTCCATCTTAGAAAGCTAGGCTGCTGATGCGATTTTGGGCTCTAACAAGGACAAGAGGAGGAGTTTCGGAACCAAAATTTCACCATGTAGTAAACTTTAGGTGTACAACGGATTCATGTAAAAATTTTGAAAAAATTATGTGAATTGAGAGTTTTGCCGACCTCAGGTGGGAATTAGGTCGGCAAATGCCGACCT